TATATATATATATATATATAATATAAAAAATATTGGCGTTCACAGATTATATATTGCTTTTATAAATTTATAAAAACATTGAAAATGTTGTTTGTTAAACCGTCCGGGGGTCTTGGATTCGTTTCGCCTGCCGTCGTTATCGCTTTCACTATTCCCAGGTTTTAAAAAATTAAAATTTTTAAGTTTTTTTTCAAATTTTAAGTTAAATGGATTTAATTTATAATTAGGGAGATAACATTTTTTTTTTAAATTTTAATTAATACATTAAAATTTGAAAATGTTTATTTAATATGTTTAATAATATTGGATAAATTACGTAAACATAAACGCAAAGCAACTCCAAATAAAATCAGGAACAATCACAGCATCATGTGAGCAGATAACAGATTCAATTGAGACGACGACGTGGTGGTATGTGTCAATATTGCTAAGCAGATTCAGAGCAGACGATGAATACTTCCTGCTGGACAACAAGGACTACCAAGTGGAAGGCCGGGCCGAACACGAGTTCGAGCCATTCGACCAAGACGGGTAGCGCCTTTGGTTGTGTGGACGAAGTATCTCTTAGGGCTAGAGGAAAGCTATTTGTGGCTGCTCATAGGATATGGTTATAAGGCAATGAGCAGCTAAGATGCCACACATGATAAGAAAATTTCACAAGCATGAAAACCAATATATGGTGGACTAAAAAGTCGCAGTCCAGCAACATGATATTTTAATGTATGTTTTCGACGGCTTAGGGGTTTATTTGCAATTTGGACCTGTACCGGTAGTAAGTGTGGCTCTATGCTGGTTGTGAACATGCTTTTTTTCTTTTTTCCTTCTTATTTGTTTTATTGTAGTTATACAAAGTTTTATTATTAATTAATATAAGTTTTGCTTTAAGTACCAATTGAACTCGACTGTTATTTGTTTAGTTGTGTTTCATGTATAAGTAGAAATAAAATAAATAAATAAATAAATGAATAATCGCAACAAGTAAACACTTAAGAATAGATGGCCACACTAAAGAGGTTTGCGACGTGTTTGTAAAAGCTATAAAGCATTGCTTCAATGCAGACATGCCAAAAAAGGGTTTCGATAAAAGGACGCAGGCGACAATTGTATCAAAATACGACATCTTCAAGGAATACGGAGCTGGAAAAAACGGCCGCCTTCATCGCATCAATTTCTTAGGTTACATTTTATATGTACTTCTATGTAATAATAATATTCAAGAAAACAGAATCATGGATGTAATTCGTAAGTATCGTAAGTATCGGTATGATCACCGTCCAACAACACATTAGCAAGCAAAGGTGTATATATGTATATAAATATATATTATTTTGTTTACTTATTTTTATTTTATTTTAGCGTACAAAAGAAACACACCGCCCAAGATACCATCAAACAACACATCGCTCATTATCAAGTGAAATTTGCTGTAAATTTGCCTGCTGCCAATTCTAAGTTTGTGGTCATCATTTGCAGGATAATTCAGTAATCGCTAAAATGTTCCACTGTTTATATCGTCATCAACAAACCACTCAGCAAGCAGCACAACGGCCGACACACCGTCAATATATCTATATATTTATCTATCTTATGTATGTCTATTTTATACGTATTATTAAATTATACATATTTATATTTATGTTACATATTACATTAATGTATCCACAAATATATTAGCGTATTTTTTACATAATAGATTTGTTACTATTATGTATCGCATTATTATAGTTAAAAAAATTTGCGCAGGGTTTTAATTATTACTGTTATATATATATATACATATTATTAAAAGTTTCAAGTTAAGTTTATCAATAGCGTAGGCGTACAGACGACGCCAACCATTTAAAATAATTACGTGTCTATCATCTCATGGTACCTCATGGTGGTGCGGAAAACCGCGAAGCCATAAAATGGAAAAAAGTAGCTGCTAGCGAGGATGTAAGCTGAGAAGACTTCTGTTTTCCAAAAGTTACGAAAAATTGGTTTTTTGTTCATTTCTCATAAACTACAGAAAATAATTGTACAAAAATTTGAACGCAAATTCTGTGGGCAATGCTGTACCATTCATGAAAAAAAAAATTCAAAAAATTCCCCACACCTGTCTCCACAACGCGCAGAAATCAGCTTTAAAAACCCAGTAAAGTAAGCAATTTCTTGGCCAGTTTTAAATTTGAAATGCATCTAAACATGTCCGCCTATTCGTCTGTCCGTCTGTCTATTGGCACAACTTTATTTTATTTGTGGTTGAACATGTAGGGTACAAAAGAAGGAATAATAGTAACACTTATCTAAACAAAGTTTCTTTTTTTTATTTATTTACAAAAAATTTTATTTTTGTACCTATGAAATTTATCGCAGCTCCTGTTCATTGTGTCATCAATAAAAATGGTGAAATCGTATTGGATCCAGATCAATTACAAGCCGCAGATAATCGTGCAAGCTTTACATTTGTGTTTGATTCGGTGGAAAAAGATTTAGTTGCTGTACATAGCTTTGGCTGTTTTAAAATAAATCAATTCAAAGATGCTCATCTCATATGCCTTGTATCGAGCAGCACGTTGTTCGATTTTTATCGTGAAGTTATGCGTAAATTTCATAACAAAACTAATACACCGTTTAGCGACAATTCTAATGCTTTAAGAATTTGTGCGATTTTATGACAATCTTTTCAGTTGCATACTTTCTTATAAGTTATGCGGCTCCACAGGAAGAGGATAAAAACTCAGTACTTTTGTGCACTCGACTCAAACAAAGCGATATAAGTAAGCAAGTATTGGAATCGCATGCATCTTGTTCGAACATGTGACTATTTGATGGTTGGACACTCGCATATATTCAACATAATTGTTATTAAAAGTTTACCCCAACGATCGGTTTGAACTTCTACATTTTTCGTAGATGCTACACGTGGATTGCGCCTGACCAGGCAGTCTGCGCAGCCGACCCTAGCACTTCTTCATTGTTGTATCTTTCGCGTAGTAGTTGTCCTCTGTACGATTCAAATGACGTGTTAGCTTTTCTGTATTTCCCAGCGAATTGGCCTGAATCTGCAGCTGAAATAGTCTGTTCGTTTAGGAGATCATGGAAGGATTCGGAATATTGGTTCCGTTCCAAGCAACCAAACATCCCTCTTTTGGATGGTCTGAAGGTTTATCGCTAGAGTTGTGGTTGTTGAAGGATGTCCGTCAAATTTTTCATGTGCTTTCATCCTTATTGTGATGGAATATTCATGCTAGTATTCTTTGACCACAGTCAATTTTTTCCAAGTTGTTCAACTCGATTGAAAAATATAGCAAAGTACGGGAGGAAACATTAGATTAGATGGCATCCATTCTTTTCAATATTTCCTCCACTTTTATTGCTTCCTTCCTTTCGATTCGATCGAGAGCAGCGACTGCGTCTGATTTAGATTATAGGAATGTTGCGCATTTTGAGACTTGAATATTATGATTTACGATTTCCATCACCTATGAATTTGTCACTGTTAGTTGCAAAAACTTGTTTTGCAAACGAGAGAGAAAGATGAAATGCATATTAGCACTAGATAATACTATCAGACATTATTAATATTATTATTATATTTGTTCCACTGAGACTCCACAGGCAGTTACAAATAAAAGAAACACATGTGCTTTACAAAGAAAGAGCACAATCAAGAACAAAAAGACGCACTTACCCAACGGGCAGATCATAAGCTCTCGGCCGTTCTGTACTCTACGATACCTATGGTCGCCTTTCACACATGGTTTGCAATAAGAGGGATAAACGGTGTTGAAACCTACTTCACTTGTTGGTCGCTAGGTAACGCAAATTAAATGCGTGACAGCTCAACTATGATTGTTAACAAACTGCTAATAAAATTCAGACTAAATCCAAGCGTCAACAATCCATCATACTGCCGATCCCATCTTTTTCGTGTATGCTTTTTTATATTGTTACAGAATTGTAGTGGCTGGCCGCCAGATCCCAATTTTTAAAAATTTTGTGGATATACATTTTATTTCCTTTTTTCACCTTGGAATACTTTTACAACTTTAGATTTTCATCTGCTGTTATATGTCGCAATTGTTGATGGATATTCACCTCGACGACGTAAAATTTAGTTCTGAAGATAACTAAATGGATTTCGCGTTATCCAATTTTTTTGTTTGAATAATTCTTTTAAATATTTTGTTTGAATTTGAGAAAATTTTGTCAATTTTTATTAATAAAATTAAAAACTATTGCTTTACTGCCTTCCATCACAATAAGATAGACAATTCTCCCCCATTTCCAGAAATTTTCTTTTTTTTTTCGAAACAACACCCTAGGCCAATTTGTTAACTTAAAAAAATATATACAAAATGCTATTTTTTGAATTTTTATTTAAAAAATCAAAAACTCATGTTTTACTTCCCACTACCACAATAAGAGAGACAATTATCCCCCGTTTCCAGAAATTTTCTTCTTTTTTTTTAAAACAAAACTCTAGGCTAATTTGATAACTTAAAAAAAGACCTTATAAAATACTAATACTAATTGGGTCATGTGTTGTTTGAGCTACCAGTGCATTAAAACAATACCAAATACCAGGTCGGAATTATTTGCTGTTATACTGGGAGACCGCTTGGAAGATGTCATATTAAGCAAATTTAGACAATTCGTTTCAAAACGCAAAAATAACTACATCAAAAATTTCTAAGCAAAATTCACCCGATTTTCGTTTCAAGAAAAGTTACATCAAAAATTTAAAAAAAAAATTTATCCGATTTTGCCACACCAAAACTTTTGGAATTTTGAAATTTTTGGAATGAATTTTCGGTTTTTTTTTCGCTTAGGCGATATGAGTAATGAAAATGATGATGAAAATGAAAATATGAAGGCGGGCTTCCAATTGGTTGATCAATTTGCGAAAGAATAAATTCTGATTTAATTTAAAAATTGCACTCGCATCAGTAAGGATATGGTTTGGTTATTGTTAGTAATAGTCAAGGAACATCGAATAACACCTTTAGAAATTTTAAAAGTTATGGAACCTGAAATAAGGTTTTTGGTGATTTTAATTTCAAATCTTTCAACTTTTAAAATTTTTTTTAGTATCTCTTGCTACCTCTGAATTGATTACGCGGCTATCAATTGGGAAGAGCTGTCAAACGTATGAAATGCAAGCTTTCAAGGCGTAAACGTTAGTTATCGTATACAGAAAGCTTTTCTATATATATAGCTATATGAAGGTAATCAACAAAAATTACTGCAATAATTACCCTCTTATATACCCCAATTTTAGACAGAGTATTTTTATAACGGACTCCGATTTTTACACTGTAATAAATTGTTGACCAATACGAAAAAGTTGGTCCTTCTGGTGAAACTAGAAACAAAACTTTAACCTTTGGATAAAAAGAACATCTCAATAGACGCTGTATTAAAAAGCCTTAATATGGAAGTATTGTAACCTATTTTTATATCCAATTTCGCTATACGGAATAGTTGCATAATGAAATGTTTCCCTTCCACAGTCACAATCCACAATTTTACCTGCGTAAAAATATAAGACAAATTATCAGCACTTGCGCTACTTGTAAATTTTGTATTTTTCGTTATTTGTTACCATTCTTTAATGTGCATCTGATATCTTCCTATAAACAATTTTGCAGAATAAATAATATTTATAATTTTTTCCTCACAACAATATTTACTTATGCTAAATTTGGTTAATATAGTACATAGATTGTTGTTTAGTTTGTTATTTGCATTTGCTAAATGCTTTGCTAGTTGCAATAATATAATGATCACAGTTGTTCAGTATTAACTAATAATTCAATAATATGTAATAAAAAGAATAACCAATGCTAGGAAATTTCTCCCGAGCCCGACTCAAAAAAATCGCCATCGTTTGACTCTAACGTTCGCGTTGAACTGTAGGATGTTGATGAGGAAGATGTTATTGTAGTAGTTACTAAATTATCGATATTGGCTAGAGTACGTTCAGTTTGTGCTAACATGGGTATTTGTTGTGGTAAATCACTTGTGGCCCATAAATATATATTTAAAGTTTTCTCTGTGCAATCCGCTATAAAACGTATAAAAGGACGTATATCCCCTTCATTGGCTATTTGAAGATATTGGTAGTACTTATGTCTAAAAAATTTGAAAAATTTGCAAAGAAATAAGTTTAAGACAGTGAAACTGTATATGTTTGTTCTAGTGTCAAACTTATATATCCATCACATGCATATAATTTTTTTGATAATTAAGCATTTGTTATTTAAGCTAACACTAACAAGCACGCGTCTGTTTTTTGGTAAACTGTTTTAGTTTAAATTTTTTAATATCGAACGTATTATTTATGTCGTATTAAATATAGGCATTTGTATGACAACATGCATAAATCGAATCGGAACCATCGTAAAAAATTTTCTCGCATGTTACAAACAATGGACAAGAAACTTAGTGTAGCTGCAGCGTTTACTTAAATTATATCGAATTGTTTTCCTTGAGAAGAAAGCTTAAAGACGCATTGATAATTTAATCAACATCTTTAAAAAATATTACATTTCCTTCGCATTGTAAAGAAAAGACGCATTGAATGAGTGGCCAATATAAGCCAAAGCTAAATTATGTGTAAAATATTTAACTTTTGATTGCGAGCTGAGATAATAGAGAGCTGTTTTTTATAATGGCAGAGTTCTTTTCTACGAAGATATAATTTGTTTCGTCTAAGTATATTTTACCTTTGTTGCTTGGGTATAATTACAGGCGGATAGCCCGCCCTCATAAGCAAAGTATTCATTAACAATCGGGAAGTGCGGCCGTTACCATCTACAAAGGGATGAATGTGCACCAATTTATAATGACCCAAAGCCGCTAATCTAAAATCATAAAATCAAAATATGTTATTTTATCCCAGAATTTCTAACGCATTTGTACTTAATGGGATGTAAATTTAAGGCTTGCTCCGAATTGAGCCAATTTTCAAAATGCCTCATTAAAATGGACAAATCTCCGGGCCCGGGAGGTACATGGCCGCCTACATAGACTTGAGAACGACGAAATTCCCCGCCTTCAACAGGGTCTACGTGGCCTAAAACCCTTCGATGAATTTCCAGGATGTCTGCCAATGTAATAACCATCCTAATAAGTGTATTTTATAAACGTGTTGAAAATATTTGGATCTGTTTAGGTTTTGTATTTACTTATTAACCAGACTGGCATTGATGTATTTCATGGCCAAATCTAAACCCAAAATTTCATTATGTTCATCTATTGATTTACCATCAATGGCGGTGCGAGTTTCTAGTATAGATCTTGTTTGAGCTAAAGTCATCGTATTGCCCTCAATGCCTACTGAATGATAGATGTGCTGAAAGTAGGCCTCCTTTTTAGCACGACGCAAAGCTGCGTTTGCTTCATGTATGGCCGATAAAGCATCACGTTTACGATCTAATTCAGTAAGACGTGTTTCATCTAATGTTTGAACGATAGCAGCTGTTCGTAGACGGTTGGTTAAAGCTTCTGTATTGCTCGGATTTATAATCAATGCCTGCCAATTCGTTCATTTTTATGGGTTGGCTTTGATAACATTACTTCACTCACCTGATAGTAATATTGGTCAGCCCTCAAAATATCACTTCGCGAATGTTCTAAATATTCGCCGTAGCGCAAAAGTATGTTTGGGTGCTTTGGGGCCAATGCGTAAGCATGCTCGAAAAGCTTGCCAGCCTTGTCATCTTTTCCCGCGCGCATCATTTCTAAAGCCAAACGTAATGAGCTTAATGCTTCTTTAATATTTGTATCGTCTCTTGATATGGAAGCGACAGCAGCTCCCGTTTCGTCGTAGAATTTCTTCAACGCCTGACGTTGATCTTCCTCTGTACTCTTATATACAGCAAAATCATCTCGTATCTGCAGGTAATGCTCGTCCGGTAAATACTGCAACTGTTTATAGTGCAGATTTTGCCAACTGGTTCTTAACGCAACATATGCTACGGCAACACATATGCCACACAAAATTAATTTAATATGATGATACTTAATTTGTAGAATTAAAACTGATTGCTTTTGTGGTCGCCTGTGCTCAGTATTGGTAAATATACTCTTGCCATTGCTTGCATTTGCCACGGGTATTTGCTTGGTATCGGTATTCTTGATAATCGATTTCCGCCTTTCATTTGTCATATTGTGGTAAGAAATTGCGTGGATATTACAGTAAACTTTGTTTTTAATTTTGCTACTTTTTATAATACAAATTTTTATGATATTTCATATCGTTCTTAAAATATAACATGTTGTTTCTATTTATTCTTTCGACTTTAATCAATCGGACTTCTTGGACACTCACAGTTTAAAAAAAAAAAGAAGTAAATAAATACTGACGTGTATGACTGGTTGTAAATAAAAAGCAAACTAACTTTACGATGTTTAAAAATATCATGTATGTGAAGTAAAAATCCGGCAACTCGCTTTTGAGTTGATAAGTGCAATTTACCAAACAAATGTATAAAAAATAACTATATTATTATTTTTCTTTTTTTTTAGTTTTGGAGTGGAGATGTACTGTTTGTGGCCTGTATGGCCATTACATTATTATTACTATTATAATTTATTTAGGTTAACGGAACAAATTAGAGTTCTTATGCTGTCGTTGGCAAAATCGCAACCAATTTTAGTATACAACTTAACTAGAAAAAAAAATGTCCACCAATAAATCAACAAAATCAAAAATTTTAGGAAAGAAATCATCAAATTCTTTAAACTAACCAAAAGATTCTTAAGATTGTAAGTTTATTGAAGAAGAAATTATGATATGTTATTGGTGAGATATGTCTATATGTGAAAGACCTCTCTCCAAACGTTCTTGACAAATCAAAAAAAAAACAAAAAATTCTAAATCGAAAGCATTCTACATTTCTTGCCGAATGTATGCCATAGTTTAAATTCTCTCTGTTGGGTTGGGTCCAGAGGACCTAAAAAAAAAAAAAATCGAAGACCTTTAAAGAAAAACATACACATGTGTCCCTATTTCTTTGACTTCATAACGTATAACGTCGTCTAAGGTCTCGTCGGGCGCTAAAGTCGCTGGTTTCGACTTATTTTCATGCATAGCGATTTAGAGAATAAGCATATATTCGTTCTCATTTGTTTTGCATGTATTGTGCCGATTTAGAGAATAAGCATATATTCTAATAACATATTTCTATTTTATAAAGTACTCCAATACAATTATGTTATTGTCTTTCGAAAATATCACCAATCTTCGATTCAACGATGTCAATGTTCCCTTTTGTTAAATAAACCACACTCAGCGTTGTCACTGCGTGCCTATTCACTTCAATAGTAACCATTTCACATTCTCTACAACGTGAACCTATCAATATAATTTTATGTTGAATGTCCGTTGCCCAAACAGGACCCCAAAAACGAATATTCGCTTTGACAAACGCACATACAGCTTGTTATAACACTAGCGGCAGCTTTATGAAAATCAAAAGTAACTAAGCAACCTCCAATTGGTTTCTGTATCGGAAACACCTGCAGACAGTCGAATGGCAGACCTGTTACAGCCCAAATAATAGGATGAACACGTTGTAGTATATTCACAGATATCGCCGAAAACGCAAGTGGACTTCCCGCCACCTAAAACTCTTAAGGATCTACGATCATTCTTTGCAATGGCAGGTTAGCCATCTTACCTGAAGAAACATTTTTTAAATGTTCTTTCTTTTTCGGATGTTGACTGATGTTTTCTTAACCACGGTGAAGATTGAAATGACCGAATAAATGAAAGCAATGCGCGTTTGTCCCTGCAAAATTTCTGCTAGTTTGGAGAAACCGTTGTCTTCTTTCATTGCATATGTGAAAGCACACAGTTATTAAAAACAAACTAGCAGAATTGAAAAGCATTGCCATCCCAAATACTTCTATTGATAGTGGTACGAAAATGAAACAAAATGTGAAAATAAGAAAATCGTTTACGAGAACGAAATATTTGGAAGCAATATGTAGCTTATGAAGAACAATTTAAATGAGTGGATTTCTCTAACTGGCGGCACTGTGATTCGCAAACATTTCCTGTAAAAACAACAAATTAAAATTGAACGGGTGAAATCGACAAGTACATATGTGAAATACATTTAAAAAATTTTTGAAATTCCTATAGAGGAAAAATGAAGCGGAATTGTTAAATCTCTGGAAGCCATAGGATTCAAGCAGACTTAAACGATGATTGGGAGCATGACCAAAGGATGTTGAAGGACTCGGAAAGCGATGAAAACAGCATTTTAAGTAAACAGTACGAAGTATCCGGATATTTGAGACAAGCGTATTTTTTTAACTGCAAAGGTTCCTCTAATGAATACTGATTTAACGTAATTTATAAAGCTTAAACGAAAGAGAAAATACCTACAAATTTGAGTTCTATATTTAACGGAAAAGGTCTTGCAGTATCCAAATGATGACATGAGTAATAAACTGCGATGATAGGAAAATGCTTTGAAAGAGAGTGTGCTTAGACAAAATGATAAAGTTCACTCTAGTGCTGTCATGGAAACTGGTGATGTATCATTCGTAAGTTTATTGCTGGAGCTAGTTATGCATTTGTTGCGAAAGGCGCATGGTTTACAATAGAGCGAAGTCGATTGTGTATTACAAATACAGTGATTTAGTCACTATGCAAAAGAATGTAACAATGATAATGTTTGTTTTAAATGGTATGGTAAGTATGGGTGAAGTGAATGTAATAAAGGATATATTTGCAAGTGTATAAACTGTGTTCGGTGTAATGAGAAAGTTGGTATTAGAAAAAAGAAAAAAATGGAATATTATAATTCTGTGCTTGTGATGTCATTATGTAAACACACTTGCAGATTGTCAGTGAGATGCATAAAGGAGCTTAGTCGTGACGTGTAGTTAAAAAGGCAATCAGCCTCCGTACGCATACAAAACCAGGAAGCGTTGATATAGCAGGGAGTTAGACTTTTTCGATTAAAATACTTCGAAAAAATCTGCTAGCAATAAGAATTAAAGCTTTCCAACCTGCGTCATATTAATACTGACAAATGAATGATTCTATTCTAGACGCTAACGCAATTGCTCTCTGTTTAAGATATCGTCATTTTGTTTTCATAAAAGACAAAGTACGGAAAGCTGTCTATAGCAACAAGTCTATGCAGGCGGTCATAACAAAATTAGAATTATATTTTTAAAATTTGTCCTTCCAACTGACTGATTCATGTACTGAACACCAATTATGAAACACGCTATGCCAATTGTACTAGTTGATTATCGTCCCAGCAGCATTCTTCTCGCTATGTCGAAAAGTTTTTGCGGGCTTAGTAATCGATCAGATTGGGCTGCACTTGAATTCTAAGAATTCGCTATGTGAAGTACAGCCAGATTATAAGCAAGGCATCGCTTTAATACCGTTAAGGTCAAGGTTCGTCCATAGTATAATAAGGATTATGATTTATTTCTCCAAGATCTTTGACTGCATGAATCACAACCTATTGTTAAAAACGCTAAATTCTTATATTGGTTCCGGTCCGGCGGTTGTCTCCTCTACAAAATCGAAGTCACTGTCTGAAGACCCACTTCTCTTTCACTTTACACATTAAGGATGCTGCCAAAATTGCAATATTCATTTATGCTGACGATGCCTAAAGGAGGGTTTGGCTCAACGAACTAACGATGATCGCATTAATCCCCTGTCAATAATTTAAAGTTAATCTCAGGTAAAACGAAGATGATCGATAATATTGACTTTGTATTTAAGTCACATTTTCGATGTCGACCATTATATCAATCTTACGACCATGTGTATGTACCACGCATGCCATGGGTCTAATGCATATTGCAACCTCTACCATGCCTGCGAAGGTAAATTGCAGTTGGCTGTCAATAAGTGTTCCAGATACGTTTTTAATAGGCGTAAATGAGAGAGAATATCGGCATATCTACTAGCAGATCGCAATAATTTTGCAATCTTGCTTTCTGAGTCCATAAGAGAATATTCAAGCAAAAATCTACAAACAAAGTGGTAAAGATGCAAAATATCGGTAGTTGCAGTTTTAAATATTGAATGAAAATGAGGCACGTAAGGCAAGTGATGAAAATTGATTGCTGAGCTTTTTTTTTATAACATTTCAAATGAGGCTTGAAGATAAATATTATTAGTATTTTGTAATTTCTAGTGAATTTTGGCAAAAATTGATAGTTTTGAGAGTCGAAACTTCTCAGGAAAAGTACAACCGAAAAATCACTTAATACTAACTATTGCAGATGAAATGTGTTTAGTTTGCAGACCTCTTTTGATTACGTTCACATAGCTCTTAGAATGTGACACCACAGTTTTTTGTAAATGTGACCCCGTTGAAAAAGAAAATCTTGAGAGAGAATTTGTAAGTTACACATGCTCCAAAGTGAACCACTCTAACCTTAAGGAGACTTGGATAATTTTGTTGCATGGTGCTCTGTGAATCTTCTGAAACTAAATCTGTGTAAATGTAAGAAGCTTTCTTTCTCAAGACGAAAGTCTTGATAAGTTGGAGGACGATTCGATCACAGATTTAGGCGTTCTATTTGATCATAGGTTACGTTTTAACTTGCATATTGAGCTCTCGATAAGCAAAGCTAGGTCCGGTTTTATAAAAAGGTGGTCCAAAGAGCTTGATGATCCCTACATTTCGAAAAGGCTGTACATGTACTCGGTTATGTCTCTGTTGTGTGGTCTCCTTCATATAGGTGCTATGTAGGTTCAATTGAATTTGTTCAAAAGCAATACTTGGTGTTTGCCCTTAGAAATTTGGGTTGGAATCCGATCGACTCTCTTCCTCTCTATGAAAATAGGTTGCTTCTGGTGTCCTTACCGGCTCTTGAGAAATGTAGGTTTGTTCTTGGCGTTTCCTTTGTGATCAAAGTAATAAATGGTGCTATTGACTCGCCTTCATTACTTGGTGAGATAAGTTTGAATGTTCTTAACCGCTTCTATAGGCACTTTATCTTGGTTAAGCTTAGTCAGTGTATATATAATTAAGAGCTGTTTAATCCGCTCAGAGTTGTTTGCAAGAACCTAAATGACGTATATCACTTATTCTCATTATAGTACTCTTTAAAGTCCATTAAAGCAACATTGCTTCATACGCGCGATTTACCTATGTCGTACTTAAACTAGCTTTTAACCTTAAAAAGTCGTTACGATTCGAAAATGAATTGTTGTAAACTATTATCGGTTGCCAGGCTTATGCATGTTTGCGATGGCTTAGGGGTTCATTTGCCATTTGGTCCTGTACCGGTTGTAAGTGTGGCTCTGTGCTAGTTGTGTACATGCTTTTTTTCTTTTTTTTTTCCTTCCTAACTGTAACAAAGTTTTTATATTCCTTTGTAATATTTGTTAGAAATACAACCATACAGACAGGAGAGGGCAGACGGAATGTTAATCTCATGGGTGGACTGATGATCAAAGCTTAGCATTACGTGAAAAAAAGCATGAAAAAAAGAAAAAATAAAGGTAGTTAGTTTCGGGACATGTGGAAAAACTTATAAAGATTAGTGAAACTGTTGTTTTTTTTTTTACAAAAATTTACAATTAGATACATATGTAAATATAGGTGAATATGTTTATAGATGGATGGAGGTAAAGAAATGCAATTAAAAGAAAAGTGCAAATAATCTATAAGCAGCAACAAGCTGCAACAAGCTGCTTATAGATTATAGTATCTTGCGATACTATTTTAACCATCGAGATAGAAAACGACTTTTGAAAGTGGCATGGTAAAATTAAAGTGAATGAAGAGTGAATCATTCGAGTTGTTGGCATAGCCGCCATTTCCAATGACCTCTGAAGTGTACGAAAAAGGATGAACCCCTTATTATAGAAAAGTGTAATCAAAATAAACTTGAAGGAAAATGATCAACAGGAATTATTCGCGCTGCATTTTTGAGGTTACCAAATATCTAAAGTATACAACAGCAATACTTTATCGCTACGTCATCAATTTCATTATTAGCTTCATCATCGCTAATATGAATGTCATCGTCTGCGCAGCAAACAGTCGTATTTACGTCTATGGCATATATATATGGTTTGTTTAGTACATAATTACTCATACTTAAACAGTCTTAAACAGTGTTAAACAGTTGTAAACACTTTGAAAAAATAGCGAAATTCCGGATCGAAAGTATGTAAAGTGTCATTAAACAGTCTTAAACATTCTTAAACTTCTATGCATAGAATTTACGGTTTTCTTATCAACCTGAATAGTGATTTATAGAATATTTCGTTTATTCAAAGTTAGCATTTTAACTTTTCTATTAGCTGTTACCATTTTGCTAGTTTTCGTAAGCTTTCAAATGATCATTAAAGACTTGTCGTCAACTATACGCTCTTAGGTCCTTACAAGGACTGGGTTAGCATACGAACTATTTTCGAATGAGTATATCTGAATTAAGGGATAGCGTTTTTAAGGTAAGTATAGATGTAAAGGCAAGTTAATGCGCCTTAGTTCAGATTTGTTAATAGTTATTGCAAGCGCAAATGCCACGGAATGAATATTCACTCGATACGCATTCTGTATGGTATCATCTATATCGTTCATACGGTATACTTTGATTATGAACATTAATGCACCAATGTGGTGTGGTGGTTAATTGTGGTACGAATCTTTATCCATCCGATTTAACGTGTCTTCGGAGTTCACATTTATTAGAAAAAAGTGGAAATTCAATTTGAGGCTGCAAAATAAAAGCAGCAGAATAGAATCGTTGCGATTCATTTAAGATCATTTATAAATTAAATCTTTTGTGTGCAATTCCTCATGCGCTTGGTTTTATGTTCAAAATTTTAGTGAATTAAGAAAAAATTTGATGACCTTAAGTAAATAATTCAAGATCATTAACAATAAAAACAAATTACGAGATTATTTGTTGTAGACAAACAATGAAATGACGTAGTCTACCGTTTATGTTACTTACATGTATGCGTACATATATCTAAAATTGGAAATTCATCAGAAACTTTTAAGCCGGCTACGATACGTCATCGATATGAAGCTAAGCTTACGCAGTCTAACAAGGCAAAAACACACAACAATACGGATCTGATTCTTTTTTCCTTCTTTCGTGCAATATTCAGACGAATAAGTGAAAGGTGTGTACAATATTAGATTTTATAAAGAACCTTCTTATATAGGTGGGTATGTGCGCGTGTGTGTACCTTCTGCGGTTTCTCATATTCTACACTTAGTAATCATGTCACTTTTCATCTTATTTAATAACATTTAAATGCATTGTGTATGAATATCTTAAAGACTGGGTTTTTTGTACTTTGAAAATAATTGCCTCTATACACAATTTTTTTTATAAATAAATTACGTTTTTTTAGAATTTTGTAAAGAGTTGCGAAAAGACCTCTGTATAAAAAAAAAATAAATAAAATTTTATGGAAAGTTTTGTACTCGCCTTTTTTTGGTAACTAGTGTTGATTTGGAAATTATCGCTTTATGTTGTCTTTTTTCTTTATTTTTAAATTATGTCATTTTTAACCTTTCTTGCTTGCTGTCATCTGCATTTAGTTTGTATTTAAATTTTTTTTTGTTAATTTTTTTAAAGATTTCATGTATTCCTTTATTGCAGTAAAGCCTATTATTTCTGACCTCGTTATTTTGGGAAAAACATATTCCTCGATAAGCTAATACATCGGTCAATAATTCCCGGAACTAACTAATAATACATTTTTATTTAACGAATTTTACTAAAAATATATATTATTATTATTATTATTATTAATTTCGCCAGAGAAATAAATTCTAAGACTAAACTCTTAAAAGCACTAGCATCTAAGGCTACCGGCTTTTTATTAAAAACTCTACCGCACTTGAGATTCGAACCCACGACCATTGACTTGCTAGTCGAGATTCCTCCCCTTCGGCTACTCAGGCGGATTTAAAAATATATAAAAAACGACCTCGGAAGTAAAAATAAAAATTAAAGAAAAGATATTTTAGAATAACTTTTTAACATTCCCTCATCATATGATAATAGAAACAATAACGTTTATTTAGAGATACAACGAAAATAGGGCCCCACATTGGTAGTTCTTCCATTTTTTTGGAAATTTGGAAAAAGTCTCGAAATCAATAGACAATATTCTGAGATGATACAGCCATTGAAGCCCATTTGTCAACAGAACATTAAAACTTTGACACCGTTTTCCGTCGATAGTTGCCCTGAATAAAAACTATAACTACAAATGGAACGATAAAATTAGCTTACGGTAATTATTCCATGGTAATTATACACATTTGTTCATTTTATCAATTTTTATTTTAAAGTGAACGTTATGAGGCCTTTTGTAATAATTTAAGCATCCTTTTATGTATAGCTGAATCTGTTTACCCGGTATATCTTATATACCTTATACGGTATATCTTGGCTTATTTTTCATTTCATTCGTAGCTGCCGGCCAATGAAAAAGATTAGCGGAAAAGCAAGCTAACGAATTAAAGGGGAACCCATGAACTTAGGTAATAATAACAAGCCTGTTAAGATGTATATAAATAAAATATTTGCGGAAGGCAGAGTTAGTCGGAGAAGAATATTTGAGTCGAGAGTATTGCAAAAAAAGAATAAATTGCGTATAATTCTACTCTTAAGTAAATTAATTGTAAGTAAAAGAATCTTGAAGAGAAACGTGGAAAAACAACGATCTAGCGATTCGAATCATATTCGAGAAAAGCGAGTTTCGTAACAATACGTTAACAAAATGAACACTGATAGCCAAAGCTCTAAAATTTTTTTAATATAGTTTTATCTGAGTAAATTTTAAAGCTTACTTTCAAATAAAGTGCTTTCTGTCGGAATTTAGCCTATTTTTGGATTGCCACGCATACGCCGTTGATTTTTTAAATTACATCATTGGTAATAAATACTATTTAAAGCATTATGTATGTATTGGGAGCGAAAGGACGTTACTGTTATCGTTATCAAACAATAGTATGCAAAAGGATTAGTACTCAGTTTCAGAACTACCAAATTTTTGAATATCTCGTTGACCAATTTTTAAACTTACTTTGATAAGAATGAGAACAGTTTTTTCAGTTCTCGGTTACTTTAGTCAGAGGCATCAAGACACCAAGTGAGGTCAGCGATCTTCGCTTCCACGCTTTAGAAATGTGCGATCTGTTTTATAAAATTCATTTTCTTAATGCACGAACCTTCCAAATGATTATCGGCAAAATGTTAATTTTGTCTCAAATTTGATGAATTTATTTCTATATTAAAACAGAAAAAAAAAGTAGCAGCGTTCTTTAAGCGTTTGACATATGAGTTGTGATTCATGCCCACCTACTCCAGTCTCTACATGTTTCTTATTATATAAATTTTTTGTTCTCTTTTTGTTTAGAATACTAATTCAGTGTTCTCATGAAAAATATTCAATAATGTAACAATTCATAAATATTTAACAATTTTTCAAAATCCACCTACAAGGCTGCGATTTTCTTTTGCGAGCAAAACAAAAACAAAATCTGAATAAGCCTTCAAAAATTCTGCATAAACATACTTGTAATGAAAAATAAGAAAATATTTTTTTTATTATAATAAAAAAAAAACGTGCCTTCAGCTTAAAAACAAACGAATATTAAATGAAATGTAATTAATATAAGTTCTATTTAAATATTGTTCAGTGCTTGAAAGAGGGGGAAAATCCCATCCTTAACAAGCAATGATCATTCTTTTTCCTAAATATAAAATGTTTTATTTCCAAAAGTTGTCAAAAATCCAAAATATTGATAAGTTTTAAGATGAAACAAAAAAAAAAATCTCTTTGATTTTTTCATATGATTATTCTCTTTATTACTCATTTCTAGTTCCATGGCATTATCATTGACTCATTGATTTGTTGAAAACATCATCGTTCTCTTAGTTACGCACACTTGAGGACTTGAACTGTTAATTCATTCATAAGTTTCATTTATATTATGCCCTATCTTGGCCACCACTAGCCAGTTGAGTTTTTGCAACGATCGAATACGGATCTCTCGTACTTTGCGCAGTATACGATATAAGTGTTAAATACTACATTTTAAAGGTTCCTTAAAGAATTCCTTGATTTTTATTATCATGAAATTCAAAATTTAAAAAACATCTTCAATTCTTATGTGTGTTAAAAAGCTTTAATGAGAGGAATTATATAAAAGATACTACTTTTTGAATAACAATTTGAAGTGAGTGTGAAGAGTGGTAAAAAAAAAATGTTGACAAAAAATTAAACCATCTTTCTTATATTATATAACAAAAAAAATTGGCCTTAATTTTGTTTTTTCATATCAATTAATTTGAGGAAAATTTCTGTTAATATCATTGTTTAGATTAACATAGTAAATATTCTCTGTTATATTTATGGTCTGACGATGTACTGGCAGATATATATAATAGGAATTTTATTAAATTCATATAAGTGTGATGTTTTAAATCGCCCTTGCCATGTTAATTTCTTTGTACGCTGTCGGGTTTCAGCGTTAAGATGAAGAAATTCACTTTTATTTAAATACTGCATTTAAAGTGGCTTGAAAGCGACGCCAGATCCTTATTGAGAGCAGATCATCAAAAAAATAATAAATATATAAAAAAAGTAAATAAGCAACTTTGAAAAAATACTGAATATTTTAAATAAGTGGCAATTATAACAGATATTGTGTTAAGCTTTCTTCATAGATACTTCTTAGGTTTTCAAGGAAGGCATTTGAAGAATAATCTCGCGAAACGCCTTGACACCGTTTCAATTAAAACTAGTGAGAAAATTAAGCTCGGCTTTGACCGAATCTTTTATACCCACAACCTCCATTTAAAAAAAAAATTGAACAAAAAACCGAAAAAATTAAATTCCCGGATTCTATAACACTAGGTGACAGTGCCTGATTTTCATTGGAATATACGTAGAAATTTTTATCATACGCAACCTGCGTCTGCTAAATTTGAAGAACATATGTTCATTTGTGCGATCGGCTGTAGATTTGCTACCGTAATTAACTGATAGATGGACAGACCGGCTGTCAAATATACGTAGAACGATTCATATTTCTAACGCATTTGTCAAATTTTAGGCCGGCAACGTCATTTTTGCAATTAGGTGAATGGACAGTACGACGGACTTGCTTAAATCGGTTTAGAATTTAATGCTGATCAAGAATATATATATACTTTATTGGGTCTCTGAAGCTTCCTTTTGGATGTTGAAAACGTTTTGACAAAATGAATCCGCATCCTTTGGTGGTGGATATAAAAAAGCAGTATTTTTGACGTGCTTGGCCGACATGGATGAAAGAAAGCACGTCCTAAGACAATTACAGTTCGCTTATTCTCATGTTTGCATTCTTAAATAATCAGAATTGATAAGTAATCTCTAATATTTGATTTTCAACGATGTCATCAATACGTTTCTTATTAATTCTTAGTTAACGTTTGAAACTCTTCTCATTAAAATACTATTATTATACATAAAAATTTTTTCTGGCACATACAGCTTACCGCGTCTTTGACGTTATCAGTTCTGAGACATGTCGTAAAGTTCAAAAGTTGTTCACTATAGAATTAAAAGACAATAACAAATAAATACCTATAATCTCATTTCAACGGACGCTATGAAAGAGAACAAATAAAAAAATTAGACCGAACGAAATAATATTAAATTAGAAAAAGGATTTTAAATGAAATAAGTTTGCATTATATCCGGTGTGTGCGAAACATAGTTTAAAGCAATTGTGAAAAAGATTAATAGTCATAGTATAACGTTATTGTGACTGAGCAAACGTCGGGTTTTTAATTAACTAAATGTATATTTTATACGTTTTACTCTTAGAGCTAACACAGAGTGGTACATTTTTGGATTAATTAATCCTTGTATTGTATTTCACGGTCAGTGCGAGTCCATTTTCTATCAAGTTATCACGATTGAAGATGAACTATTTCTCTACGATATTTGTATGCGACGAAACAAGCAAGTGTTATATATTTTAACCCTATTATATTATTCCTATTTCTATTTATCCCTATTAAAATAGAATGCTGTATCATTATATATTCATAACATTTATTAGATAAAAAGTGATTGCATAAAAAAAATATGAAAAAAGTAGAAATTTAATTACACTTATGAATGCAAGATGTGTATATATTCGTGTCATTGTTGTATTTAAAACATTCAGAAATATGGATCCGATTCTTTAAACTATTGACATGAGATTTTTGTCCTTTCCCTTTCACTCCTTTGTTGTTGGAACATTCTCGGTACAGAGAAAAGAAACTTTTCTCGGGCCATTTTCATAGATCAGGTGTGAAAAGGGTAGCAAAGCGTAAAACTTTACGCGTATATTTATCAGTACGGAATTTCTAGTACCAAAATTTTTATTTGAAAATCTATTCAACCATGGAAACTGTTAATGAACCTGCGAATTTTCCTTATAGTGTCAAACACTTTTTTTTGCCGTAAGAGTTTTATAGTTATACCTATCAAAAGTACTCCATATAGTACGCCTCCATTCTTCTATGTAGTTTTAGAAAATGTAGTTCTCTTATGAGTATGTAGATTCTAAAAAGTTGAAAACATTTTCGTCGCACATTCCAGCTAAGTTCTTCTCGAAAAACTAAAGTTTGTTGTGTATTAATTTTTTCACTCTCTTACTAGAAAAGATTTTAAAGATTTTTGCAGCTATAAATTTTACGTTGAAGTTTAAAAAAAAAAAAAAAAAAGTAGAAACATTACTGATGCAAATCATTCAAAATAGTGTGTTATATGGGAAGTTGTCGAAAGGGTGGTCTGAATCACATCATTTGCAATAGCGTCCGTTCTTAGGACAAAACGCGTCACTGTATCAAATTTCCTCAAAATATCAAACAAGACAGAGAGATGGACAGACAAGCTTAAATGGTTTCAAGTAGTGATTTTAAATGGATCGTTGTAATAAAAGGTGGATCTGTCTTTACTCTTTCTAGATGCTCCATACGTCCACAAAAATGTGCCATGAACCACAAGTGATGTATGGCATATCTCATGTTCCTTACATCCACATAAACTTAGTACACTCCTCCCATAGATAGGGGTACAAAAAATTTTCTTAACATAGTTTGTTAGGTCTGTTGCTCTATTATCGGAGCTAGATTCAAAAGGTAGATATTTTTAGAGGGCGTGTCTATATTTGTTTATATAGTCCTGTTCAACCCTTAAATCGGGGATATACCTTCCGAAATATAAAAAGTGATTGATAAATATCAATATATTGAGTTTAGCCGATATTATCATTCTTCCAAAATACTCCTCTGCTTAAGGAAAATGCGTTTTGTTTTGTTTAAAATTAAAAGTAGGTCAACTTTATTTTTAGAAAAGAGTACGACTTATGACCTATTTCCTATTTGTTCTTACGTTGCCTTCTCCCCCATTGCTAAAAAGCTACGCGGTTAAATTACAGAGGGAAGCTGAATATTTCTAGTGACATCCATTACAAACTCTTATGGAAAGAGATTCACACATGTTCACAATATTCTATATTATACAGGAATTGTTAGATAACTCATTCATTTAAAGTTTACCTAGGCAAACAACAAAAAGGTGTAGAAGTATAATAATGTAAAGCTATCGCTGCCATCATCGCCGTCATAGAATTCAAATTGTGATCATCAATATCGGAGCTGCATGTGTCATAATGCATTTTATAAATATATTCACTCTCATATATAAATGCATAAATTATAGTTTTCGTTGCTGCTTTATTACGTTATATATAGCAGTTTCTTAATAAAATAAAAAATTATTATCTTAGATATTAAGCAAGTAAAGAGACTTCAATAAATAGTGTGCTATGCATTAATAAAGAAGTCTTGTTATGTTGAATTTTTGAATTAACTCGTGTTAGTTTATTTATTAAGGAGAAGACTGACAGAAGAGGTCGAATGAAAGTTGAGTCCCAGTTTCTTATTTCAATTTAGAGCTTAAATATAAATCAACAAATTGATCGTTACATAAAACGGATAGGCACCTATGAAAACGGAATTTTTGTACAAAAAATATGCGTTTATTGCATGAAAATGATAAACAAAAAATTTTTCGAAGTGTTGCCGACTGATAGCCACACATTTTTGCTACTTGTTTGACAATTTTTGAATGCACGGCAAAAGACTGTTGCTCCTTTAAGTCGTTTTCGTTAGAAGTGCGGTGCTGCTCACCAAATGCCTGCCACATCGGTTTCTTGCAAACAATTAAATATGGATGGATGAACGTAAACATGTAAACATATAACCTTGTGTTGCCCTTTTTGATATATCGCTAACAGTTTTAGAACAACGAGTTGTACAAATCGAATAATTGTTGTTGACGCTGTTTGGTATCAATCGTTTTGCTAGACTTTAATAGCTAATGACAGACGTTTTTGCTTTTATGCTTCCAGCAAGTACAGAATATCGTGTTCCTGCCAAAGCGATTCAGTCTCAAAGTCGATGCGGAGAGTACGCCTGGATCTACTCATGAATTTTTACCCCTGGGGTTCTCAACTTTCACTTCCATATTTGCGCATCCACGATACGGACGGAAAATAGTCTTTCTTCCCTATAGTTTGGGTGACGACATTTTCGTTGTTAGAAAAAGTATTTTTGTGCAGTGGTTTGTATTGCTATTACGACCTGCTATTGTTGCCAGATGTTCGAACTGAAAAAGAACACAACTTCATATGTGCATGTTTTCTAGAGGGACAGAACCGCTATTCCTATTTACGTATCTAGTACCTATACCAAATAAATGGGCAACATGCGAAGCATTTAAAGTTTGCGTCTACATTTTCCCAAACTATTCACCTAAATTCGTTACATAAGGAAAGTTTAATTATATTTTGAGCATTGTGAACATGTGAAAACCATGTATTTCCAATACTTTTTGGGTTTTTCAGTGGCAAAAAGCGTCACAAACTAATAAAGAGTTGTACGTCGCTGGCGTAAGCGAAAGCGTGGATTGAAGGCGGCTTTCGCAATGAAATGCGTTCAATAGGTGCTCTTTTTGGCGGATCAAACCTAGATTTAATAGAATAGCGGTCTTAAGTTTAATTGAGTTTGAGCTGATGAAGACGAATTTGAAAATTCGAAAAACTTATGCGCTTTTTCTTAATTTTGCTACAAATTCATCCAGTTGGCGACGATATGTATTCACATATACATATATCTAGGAGATGAAATATGATTGATATACAATAAAGTTGCTGCACCAACACGTTCTGGCCAAAGAGCGAAAGCTGCTGAAAAATTCACTTTACACCGAATTATAATCCGTTATTTTAACCAATAAAGTCATTATTTGAAATAAATGGATGATTTTGCATGAGATCATTTCTTGAACAATCTTTCCTAAAGACGTTCTTACCAAATATTGATCTTTGTAAAACAATAAGCTGATAAGATTTTTCGTATTTCGTATGAGGAAAATATGCTAAAAATAAATAAAAAAATCATATTCGACTGAGCCCAACTCCCGTGTAACCACAATCATGTATTCATTACGTTGTGACGTCCTTATTTAATTTGGAGCTAATACGCATAGCTTGTCGTATTTTACTCGCCAAGTCCTTTTATTTAATATCCCTATCAACATTATTGTCAAGAAAAAATTAATCCACCAGGTCGTGGTGTTTAGTTTAGAATTAACGCATTTTTCATAAGGTCTTCATTTGAGGAAGGTGCAAAATAATTTTAAGCATTCTGTCTTATTTACCTTACCATTAATGAGCATAAACAATCACTCATAACTTTGGGTGGGCATGGCCGAATTTTTTCCAATTTTCCTTATATATAGTAGAATTTCCGTAAAGTAAATGTGGGAAATTTCAACCTTCTTTTATCTTTCATAATTTGCGAGTAATGAGAAAATCACATCATTTTTTGCTTAGAAAACCGAAGTTGTGCTCAATTTACTTTTTATTGCGGGCATGTGCTCTGGCCGATTTGACGCATTTTCAATATCAACCTGCATGAAGAGATATCCGATGGTCCTACCAAAGTCGATCTCTTCATTTTTGCGACCAGGCGAGTGTCGATAACAAACACCACAAAGGCGCACAGGCACATAGACGAACCGACATGGCTAAATCGGTTCAGAGTTTCGCGCTGATTAAGAATGTATACACTTTACAGCGTCTCTGAAAGTTCCTTTTGGGTGTCACAAACATTGTGATAGAGTGAATATTCCACGGTCCATCGTTGCTGGGTATAATAATAACATCTTCTAAAAAAGATTTCGGTCAACATATTGAGCTAGTGCTCATGTAAAAGTTTTCGTGAAAAGTAAATTTTTTTATGCATAAAGCGTAACTTTTGGTATTTTGTGAAAATTATAGATTATTTTATGACCGGCCGTGTTTTAATTAGCACAAAGCAAAAAAAAAATCTTGTTCAATTACAAATTCGTTAGTAATTTTTCTGCAAGCTTTACGAATCTACGAAAGTGGCATTCCACAATGTTCAATATCACATACGCGATATCAGATCATTTATATTAATGCAAATACGTTTTTAAAGAGATTTACAAATATTGTTTTGCAAACGCATGGTAGCAAATCCCTATTTTAAGCTAGATAAGACATTGCTTTCGTGGCCATCAGGGGATGATCACTCTAATGGTTTTTCTTTTATTGGTTCGATTAGTTGAAGCAACATGGTCTATCAATTAAAATTTCCATTTATTCCATTTCCGGGTACAGTAATTTTATCTTCATGTTGACCTAGTATACACCAGTGAGCGGCAATAAGGAGCTTTTGGATTTAGAAATGATTGAAATAATTGAGTCTCTCCAAAGTTAAACAAAGGCGTAATATTGATTTTCTTAACGAAGGCAAAAGATTTCTAATGATTATTTGTTTATTATTTGCGATATCTTGAAATTGTTCGGGTAATCAAATTCAATAATTACATTGATCATCAAATTCTCGTCGTGCAGTTTATTGTCTATCGAAAGAAATGTTTAAAATTACCAAACAAATTTACAAAAACTCAATTAACACAAATCTTCAAACCGTTAAACATTTGCTTTATTTGTCGTTCTTACATGTTTTATCTTTCAATATCTTTTCTTCTTCTTTTTAAGATATCTCTCCGATCATGCAGTATCTTGTTTCAGTGATAACACTATTGCAATGGGTGCACTGTGGTTGGGGCTACGGCCACTATAATCGCCATCCTATGTCGTATGGGTCGAGCGGTGCTTATGGTGGCTCTCCCTACGCTTCATCTACTAACTATGCCACCTCTTCGTCTTCCTCCTCTTCTTCTTTATCGCCTCATGTTTCGTTACATGGCACGGATAATAGTCCATGTTGTACGTTGGATTCCTGGGCTTATAACAATTTTAATGACATCCGTCAGTTTGCCAATCGTCTGAGGCAGGAATACAATAGCATGGCTTCCGGCAGTATCACTGGTTATAGCATCACTTACAAACCCTGGACTGGTAATTATATATGGAGCTATCCATTACTTATTGCTACCAAAGCCGTATATAAATTTCCTTTTTACACAGAAAGTATTATTGCATTGAGTGGTAAAACACCTGGAGAACTGGACGCCCTGTGCCGCATGGTTAGCGAACAATTGATAGCAGACATGCGTAAAGGGAGTCTTAGTTATTCAACTGTATCTCAACCGAATTACTTTGAATGGAAAGCCGCCAAAACTTTACAACCTTTGGTTGCTTTTGAAGACGATTTTGGTCAACAGCAGCAGTCTTTAGACTTGGAGCAATACCAGCTGGAAGGCTCACATAATTTTGAAGGAGTCAAGACCTACAGCCATCCAACAGAAGTCAAGGTCGTTGACGGCAAAACGTATGTTGTTCACAAGAATATAAGCGAGGCTCACAGAAGTTCGGGATCTGGTACTTACGAAAATCCCTATGTTCGTGTAATAAAGAGAAACCGTACTGTTGTTACCACTAATGCTATGCCAGCTTATACACCCGCAGTAGTTTACGCTCCTAGCACGGCTTTCAATTCAGGATCTATGGTTACTGTGCCAGGTAATGTTTATCTTCCGCCATCTCCTCCCGCTGTCACTGTAAGTCGTAAGAAGACAATACGTGATTGGGTTCATGAAAATATGGAACCGGGCGTGGTCGGTTATCGTCCCGTGGTAAATGTCAATGCTGATTGGTCTACTAATGCTAATGCGTATAAACCGCCCCTACATATACCAGTGGAAACCAGTTCATCGGCAGAAGGAGAAAATTTTGGAATTGGCTACGCACCTAATTTTTCACCTGGATCCACTGTAACCGTTAGACGTTACAATAAGACAACAATTACTAATCCTGATGGTTCTAATGTAGTGCGCGGCTCTGAAAGCCATAAAAAATGGGTAGATGGTCAATTGGTATACGACACTGAACGTCCGTTCGGAGAATGGACTGTTCCCAAAGATGAAGAGTGGAAACGCGAAGAACGCGAGAGATTCTTTTGGTTTTTAACGTCCGCGGCTGCTACATCTCAAAGTTTGGAATTATGGCAGCGTCAGCAGGAGGAACGTTTAATGGCCTTAGCAGAGCGTTATCATACTACTCTGGAAAACATTCAAGATTGGCATCGAAAAGAACTGGAACGATACCGCGTGTTATTAGGTCAATATCAAGTCCAAACTATCGATGATACCGCCTGGAAGCGAAGTGAGAGAGGACGCCTAGATTGGTTGATTCACCAGAACAGTGTTACTCGCGAAGAATTGGAACGTTGGCAACAGGAAAACCAGGATAAGTTAACCCAATTGGCGCGACAATACCGAATCTCTGTAGAAGATTTCAAAAACTGGCAAATTGAGGAGCTGGATCGCCTCTATGTTTACTTTAATGATCAAAACAATTCTATGATGCTTGGACCCAATTCCGACTCCTTCGTGCACAACAGTGAACAAGAAAGATTAGAAGAATTGATACGACAACATAATGCTACTATTGAGCAATTACACAATTCAATCAAAATGGATCAGCAGAAATTACGCGAACTGTCTACCAAATATCGTGGTAATGTGGAAGATATGGAGAAATGGCTGAAAGGGGAATTGTCTCGATTGGGTGGCATAATTAACGAACAACATAATGAAATGACTCGCATTAACGAATGGCAAGCATCAGAACGTGAACGTCTGGAAAATATCGTTAAACAGCATCGTGGTTCTATTGGAGATATTGATGCTCAAATGGATCGTGATCGCAGTTATTTGCACACTTTGGCCAACAAATATCACGTTAGCATAGAAGAGTTGGAAAATTGGCAACGCGCGGAACTGGAACGATTACAACAACAAGGTCAAGCGCAAATCGAAATTGGTATCAATGAATGGCAGCAAAGAGAACACGAAAATCTTAAAAAATTGATAGCGAAGAATGATTTAACTATAGAAGAATTTCAAGTTTTAATAATCAATGACCGTAAAAAGCTGGAGAACTTAGCCCAAACTTACCAAGTGCAGGTGACTGAAATAGAAGAGTGGCTTAAAAAGGAATTAAGCAGCCTTAAAAATGAAGGTCTCTTACAAGAGGTAAAGAAAGAATTGGCCGACTGGCAACAAAAAGAACGGGCTCGATTACAGAATATCGTACGCCAGAATGAGCTTACGGTTCAAGATTTAGAATTAAAAATTAAGACTGATCAGTCCCATCTAAATAAACTGGCTAGCAAGTATCAGATCGAGGTGGCAGAAATTGAAGATTGGCTCAAAACCGAATTGAAGCGTTTACAAAGTGAGGGATTGGTTAAGGTTGAGGAGTTGCAGGAATGGCAAAAGAATGAAAGAGAATTGATTTTAGGTCTTGTCCAAAACAACAAACTTACTATTGACGAATTCGAGCATAAACTTTTGGCTGATCGTCAGCGCTTGCAAGATCTTGCTAAAATGTACAACGTTGAAACACACGAAATTGACACCTGGATTAGAAGAGAAGGCGAACGTTTGCAGAATTTAGGTTTATTGCAAATTCAAGAACAACTAAACAATTGGCAGAAGATAGAACGTGATCGTTTAATGGCTTTAGTACAACAGAATAAACTTTCAATTAAAGAACTGGAAGAGAGGATTAAGAACGACCAAGTGCATTTGTACAGTATGGCTCACCAACATCAAGTGCGTGTCGAGGAAATCGAAGAATGGATAAAACAGGAGATTAAACGATTGCAAGCAGAAGGCCTCATTGAAATGGAGAAATTGAAGGACTGGCAAACCGAGTGGCGTGGAAATTTGACAAATATGGTTAGGGAACGCGATTTTACAGTGGAAGAATTTCACAAATGGCTTCTGGAAGACCGAGCACGTTTACAAGCTTTAGCAATGCAACATAATGTTCAACTCGAGGAAATTGAGCAATGGGTGAAAAATGAAGAGCAACGATTCATTAGCATGGGTCTATTAAAACCTAATGAGAAACTTACGAACTGGCAGGAGGTTGAGAGGAGGTATTTAGAACGTATTACACAGGAACAATATCACTCAACCGAACAGCTTGAGCAGCGCTTAAGACAAGATCGGGAATTATTAGAAAAATTAGCCAGAGATTATCAGATTCAAGTGGAAGAAATTGAAAAGTGGATGAAAAAAGAATTGACACGCTTACGGGATGAAGGACAACTGCAAATAAATAATCTAACTGCTTGGCAAATAGCCGAACGGGAACGTTTAGACAATTTGCTCAAAAAAAACAAACAATGGTCGGCGGAAGAGCTCGAAGCCGTCTTGAGACAAGATAGAGATCATATGCAAAGTACCGCCTTCCAATATCATACCTCAGTAGAGGAGGTTGAAAAGTGGATAGAAAGTGAAATTCAACGCTTGCAACACCAAGGAAAGCTGAATATCGAGAAGTTGACTGCTTGGCAAAAGGAGCAGCAACAGCGCATATTGAGTTTGCTGCAGCAACAGTCTACCATTACCTTAGAAGACTTTGAACGTAAAGTGCAGCAAGATCGTGCCTTCCTTATGAATTTAGCGCGACAATATCATGTTAGTGTTAACGAGATTGAAGACTATGTAAAGAAAGTGATTAATGACTTGCGTGACAAGGGCAAATTTGAAATTGAAAACTTAAAAGCTTGGCAATTGGTAGAGCGAGATTACATCAAACAATTGATCAATCAGTATAAAAATTCTTTAACTACTGAGGAGTATGAGAAGAAACTTCTAAATGATCGCATTCACCTTAATCAGTTGGCTGATCATTATCACATCAATGTTAAAGAAGTTGAGGAATGGATGATCAGAGAATTGCATAAATTACGAAAAGATTCCGGGGATCAATTGCAAAAATTGGTCGCTTGGCAAGTCAGCGAACTGGAAAAACTGAAGCACTTGATTCAAGAAAATAATCGGTTAAATTATGTGCAATTTGAACTCGAGCTGAAGAAGGAACATGAACATCTGCAACAAGTAGCTAACCAATATTCTGTGAGTATACAAGAAGTGGAACAATGGTTAAGACAACAACTTTTGAATTTGAAGACAACAGGACAAATACAAGTGGAAAGTTTGACCAAGTGGCAAGAAAATGAACAGAAACGTTTGATCGCTTTATGTTTGCGGCAACAGGAAGCCATTACGAACGAAGAATTTGAAAGAGAATTGCAACGTGATAAAAACCGTTTGGAACAATTGGCTCGAGAATACAATGTAAGCGTTGAGCAAATTGAACAATGGATGAAGAATGAATTACAACGTTTAAAGAACTCTGGTCTGGTACAAGTAGAAAATTTAACTCACTGGCAGTTAATGGAACGCAAACGTTTAGAAGATTGGTTAAGGAAACAAAATAAGGCGGTCAATAGCGATGAGTTAGACGCCTTTATTCGACGTGACAAGGAACGCTTGCAACGCATAGCCCAGGATTACCACGTAACTGTGGAAGAAATTCAATCCTGGGTAGAGCAAGAGGGTGCACGTTTGCAACTCTTGGGGCTGGTTAAAGGACCAAGAAACTATATCTGGGTCACTACGCGCCAACCATCCACCAGTATAGAGACAAGCTGGAATAATCGGTGGACTACAACTGACACTTATACAAATACTCAAAAACCACAAAGTAGCGAAGAAATGTGGAAAGAGCAAACCAGGGCGCATCTGCAAGCTATAGTTCGTATCAAACCTTTAACATGGTCAGAATTCGAGCGTTATTTGGTTGAGGAGAAACCACGTTGGGAACAATTTGCTCGCCAGTATCACGTAACTGTTGATGATATTGAGACTTGGTTACGTGAATCAGCTCAAGATTTATCGAAGCAGGGCTTTATACAAGGTGATGTGACAGTGGAAGAATGGCATAGGGTGGAGCAAAAATACATCCAAGACCTTATTGATGAAAAATTACGTAAACAACAACAATGGTCTATTGAGGAACTAGAGCGTCAGCTAAGGAACGATCGTGATCACTTGCAAGGATTAGCTAATCGATATCACGTAGCCATTGAAGTAATAGAGAATTGGTACAGAGAGGAGTTGCAGAGCTTACTAAATCAAAGAAGAATTATTAGTGAAAATCTAACGGATTGGCAAACTGCTCAAAAAGATCGTTTGTATTGGCTGATTAGCAGACAGCCTGGCCTAAGTCTGCAGCAATGGGAGCACCGTGTTCTAAACGATAAGGCGGCCTTAAACCGGTTTTGTGATGAATATCATGTATCCATAGAAGAGTTGGAAGTTTGGATACACAATGAATTGAGACGTCTACAGAATTTAGGCTTACTTAAAGTCATTAATCGTGCAAGTGGACTTAGAGCTTGGCAAGAACAAGAACGTCAACGGTTGAGAGATATTGCGGCTGAATTGACTATAACTGAGGAAGAATTTGTTGAATTTATTGCAAATGACGTATCATTCCAGCAACAGTTATCGCATTTGTATGGTTGCCGGCGCGAAGAATTAGCCCCCTTCCAAAGGATCGTGATTAATCGTATGAATCACGAAGGTTTACTGGATAAGACAGCTTTATTGCAAGTGGAATCGTGGCAAAAAAATGAGCGACATCGCCTCTACAGTTTCATCAAGGATAAGAGTTATACTTTAGATGATTTACGAAACTGGCAAAATCAAGAAAGTTTCATTAATGGATTGGCTTCTAAATACGGTGTTACTGCTCAAGCATTGAAAAACTGGCAAATGGCGGAGTTTCAGCGTTTGCAAAACTTAGCCCTTTACTATCAAATGAATCTGAATCAGTTGCAAGACTTTCGAGACAAAGAGATAAGTTACATAACATTTGTAATGCATAAAAAATTGAGCCCTCAACAAGAGCGAGTCGCTTGGGGAATTAATGAAGCTACAAGGATGAGTGTGCTGCAAAAAAAATCAGGACTCGTCGGAGAAGATCTAGCAAAGTGGAGGCGAAAATACTATCTATTATGCCAAGGACGTTTGCCTTTTAGCTTCGGCGTTGACGGAGGCTACGAAATTGGTGGTGGTTTAACGAACCGTACCGGAGGGCTACCTACAATTATATCGAAAGATAGAGGAGATCAGCCTCCAAATATTTATGAAGAGACAATAGATATTGAAGAGCCTGGAGTGGAGGGTCACGATATATTGCACCCTCTCCCTACGGCCGAAATGAGAGAACATCTTTCATTAAGACCTGGCTATGAAAATCCAAACACTTCCATGGATGGCGGTAGCTATCCGATCCATTACTCTAAGAAAGAAGACCATTACAGGACACCAGCGAGAGGTCGTAGTTTCGGTTACCAGAATCTTCACAACCCTCACAATTCGAATTATAACGATAAGCAGGCTCACATTTTAGATGGGGACGATGAACAACAGCAACAACAATTGGAAGAGGATGGTGATTATGGTCAACAACATCAAGAAGAAGATGAAGTTGAAAATTTCCATAGAACTATAGCACACCCTGTACGATACTCGCCTAGCCAGAAACAAATGCAAGCACCAGTTAACGAGGTAAGTTGACATGAAATTACTTTAGCTTATCTAATGCTGATTTCATCTTATTGCAGGGTTTAGTTGTACAAGCTGAATTAAACTCTTCCGGTTTTCTAGGCAATTTGAAGAAAAAGATTTTCGGTTAAGGACTTCGAAGCCATTTTTGATACTGCTTTAATTATATAATATTTTTTGTACGATTTAATTTTAGTCTTAAAATACACTAAACGAGAATTATAAAATAATGTCGATTGTATAATTAAACGATGATAATGCGATTAATCACGATGTAATTCATTCATTTTCAAACAAATCAGATTTTATTTTCATTTTTCTATAGAAACAAATACTTAGTAGATTTTAGAATAGTTAGAAATAAGAGAGCTTTTCTTACATAAATCTTAAGCGAAATATAGGTTTTAAAGCGTTCCCACCATTCCTATAATCGTCTTTATTTCAAAGCATCCCTAATAAAATGATATGTAGAGAATTTTAAATTAACTAAAAAAAAAAAAAGAAAAAGTGAGATACAAACGAAAGAAAGAGATAGGAAAACGCATTTAAAATGCTGTCTTATTCAAATTAACTTCAAATTTTTTTGGCTTATCTAATCTCAGTTATAATCATACATTAAAATTTCATTATGCTTTGGTTCTAAGTTTATCTTTTTTAACTATCTAGGCACTTGTTTGTTAATACATTATAACAATTATATTGATTTTTTTTATTAAATCCCTAAACTCAGGCCTATCCTTCGTTACAATTTCAATTCCTTAAAATTTATAGTATGTTTTCCAAAAAAAATCAACTAAAATTCGCATTTTCACCATCGCTTTCAGCCAATTGAAAGCATGTGTGCTTAGCCGCTCCTTCGAACATGGTGTGGAAAGTTTTACGTGATAAATCGTTATCATTATCGAACGTTTTCGCGCGGTCTTCAAAGTCCACAAATAAACCTTCGCCGGTCTCATAGAGAACTCGGTTCTTCAATTGTTCTATTTGATGTAATAACTTTAAGGTTTCGTGATCTAAGTTATCGTCTTCTACATATAGTTGATTTTGTTGTTCCTCATCAATATCCCATTCGAGAGATTCAGGTGTTGATATATGAGACCAAGAATTGTGTGAGGAATTGCGTGTTATGGAACCCAAACGCTGTGAACGACTTCGAGTGCGTATTAACGGACGCTTTTCATTTGAACATTCTTTAAAATTTTCTAAATTATTTGGCATTTGTAGAGAGTCATTATGTAGGCCCAAGGAAGGCATTGAAGCCATAGAATGGAGTTGCCCATCTTCATGAATATTGTTATACTGCCAAGAAGATTCGTCAGCCGATGTCTCAGTTTGCAAAATTTGTGTTAACATTTCATGGTTCATTTGATGTTGTTGCTGCAAACATACGTACTTTGAATTTCGAAGCAATTGAGGGTATTGACGGATTTGGGAATATTCGTGTTCCCATTCCAAATCCAACGAAGAACTACCCCTTGAACTGGGCACGCGACTCGCAATATTATTGATCGACGATTCTTTTTGGCTGTGGGCAGCATTGAGCAAAAGATTTGTAACATCTAAATTTTGCAGTTGGATGTCGGAAATGCTTTAAAACAGAAACGTTAAAAAAAAATTATTTAGAAAACTTATTAAAATTCTTGTTTCACACTGCCTACCTTTCGGCTTGCGGACCGCTGCTTAACTTGGCATAGCTTGTATCCTGATATTGCCAGAATTTCTCCAGAAAGTGTGAAGATTTTTTCTAAAAAGTTATTATGAAAAAGACTTTTTAACTTTTAATTTCTTGCGTTTTTAATATACCTTTTAAGGAAATTTAGATAATCTTTTTTTTTAAAGATATATTTAATTGAAACTTCCTCTTTTCCTTCTAACACACTTACCTTTCGTTTAAAATTCATGATGCGATATATAAAATTATCTCGTTTGTAGTGTTCATTAAGATTTGACATTAAATCTCTTTCTTGATCATCTGTTGCATGGTGTCTATGAATAAGCAAGAGAAACCAAAACGTAAATAATTAAGAGGCACACATATATAAACATATATAAACATCGACGACCACTTCTATGTGTACAACATATCCACTTACAACGAGTGTTAACAGAAAGGCAACCATAGTGATTTATAGTGGAGGGCTGAATTAGAAAATCAAATAAAATGAAAAACATGTTGTTAAGAAACGACAGCATACTTTAGGGCTATTGACCTCCTCTTTGTGCTCTTTAATGCTTATTCAAGTCATTTTAATTTTTTTCTGTGTATACATATGTGCACATATTTTGATATGTAAAGCTTAAGTCTGGTCTCTGCTATAAGTGAAAAATATTTCATTGAGTGTATGGATCGTCGTCAGCTTTGTTTCTCAAGCTATAAAATATGCCGTTATTATTTACGCTGGCACAGTGAAATTAAGTTGAAGAGATTTTTATTAAAAAGCAAAAATTGCCTAACCTGACTTAATATTTGTAATTGCTACTAATAGCATTAAGGGCACATTCCCCAAAAAAAATTCTTTAATGCAAAAGATTTTGAACTTTACTGTTTAAATTTGTTTTCAAGTGTTTTTATTCTAATATTATTACATAGTAATTATGTTACATATAACTTAGGAGTTTTGCAACGGGAGCCGTCCACTACATTTTACATAATTTGTGAAATATCAATATGCAATTGTCATTGCGATATCATTTGGCAAGTAAATACTAACTAGAGGGCCTCAGATACATTTGCAATGTAGTTGGGTTATTGGCAGTTCGAAATGTATGAACAAGATAACCATGGATTTCGTTTTTGTACGAAATTACTCCTAACGATGAAATCCATTTTCAGTGTTTGTTGCTTCAAAAATTCAAGAGATTTAATCGAACAATTCTTCCAAACATGGCGAATGACTGTTTTCTGCACTTTTGTGTAACTTGACAATATACTTTTCGAATATGCCTCTAATTGAACCGTTAAACCGCGAACCGCCTTCCCCGAATACTGTATAACTTTTTTCGCTTAAATTTGATGCTATGGACAAACAGACTGCATTTGGTGCAGTGGATGTGAATGATGCCTATTTTCAATAAAACGGCCCCCTCCACCATACGAATTCAGCTCTTACGGAAATTATTATATATATATTTACAGATAATGAGTAAACATTTATTTGCCACGCTTTACAGAAGAGATTCGTTCCCTTTTTCATTATAACTGCACATTACCTAATTAGCATAAATTTGAAATTCATTTTTAGAAAATTGTTAACAAAGTCTACGTCAAGCAAAGTGTCGAGAGAAAAAAAGATAATGCGTTTATCGTGAACAATATATAGATAAAGAAATGTTGTAACATATTATTATTAATTCTTTTAGCCAGACAAATAAATCTGAAGACTAAAGTCTTAATATATTTTACTTTTCTATATTAAAAACTCAAATATATTTCGACAATTCTTAATAGGCTGCTTTAAGCTTGGAAAGTTAGCGCAGCAATCAAATACTTTTCGGTCACCTTATGATCATTTAAGACAGCTGAAGGGAAGTGTAATTTCAGCGCGTTAATACCATCGCATTTGTTGAGAGAACTGTATGCATGTTTACAATAACGTTCGTGTCTATTAGTATACCTAAGTGCAAAAAACCGGAAATTTGCTATGGAGTATGCAATTAGGTTAAAAGCTAAATGCTTTACTATGTTTATCAACATGCAGAGAAAAAACTTTTGCCAAAAAGACTATGCAAAGTTTTATGTTAAGTACACCACGACCTAATTTAGGTACTCAGAGAAGGCGGTAATGTTATCATCAATTAAACTTCAAGTCTAATTTGGAGGTTAGTAAGTGCTAATTAATGAGTTAAGTTTGCCCTTTTTGAAAGCAAACAACAGTAAATTGTATTCTTTTTTTACCATGTAATGATAATATGTTTAGTTTTACTGATAAAAAAATAGTAAAAACAGCTTTCTTAAAAAGATGTTTTTAGTAGTTTTGTTTCATTATTTTTTTTTTTTTTTGTAGATAATAAATGAAAACAAAATAAGGCTGGAAAACTTGTTCATGACTAATATTAGTAATAGCAAGAATATGTTTTCTGTGGTATTTTGATAGGCTCTAATTTATATTCTCTAACCAGCCAAAAAGTATACAACCAATTGCCCTTCTCTACTCTAAATACATAATATAAAATTTAGAGGGAAAGAAAGAAAGAAAACAAAAAGTTAATACCAACTTATATAAGCGTGAAAACATTGCCATGTTATATACGGTCGAGTACAATAGTGAAAAAATAGTTAGTGCTAATGCTGCAAACCTCAACTTAAACCTTCTTTCGCAAAAGCTATGATATACTGTGGTTTGTGACCCAAATAGTATGCAACAGTTGGCCTTAAAGACCACTGAAATAATATAATCATTATAAACGTCAGCACGAAAAATGAAAACTGAATGAGTTTAAAGTACAGAAGCCGCAAAGTATGCTATAAATTGTAGTTGAAATGTACGCAAACAAAAAGTAAAATTAATTTTGCGTTTTCTCTTGTGTGAAGGACATTTTTCATCGAAAGGTGGAAGGTATATTCATTTTGTGAAAACATTCGCAATAGTTACATGAAAGTTTAAGAGATCTTATAAACCGTGTTAAATTCTGAATCGCTATACGAGTCTGTTTGTCTATCCGTCTGCATATCTGGCTACGATAAAAATCCTCAAACTCGGCAAGACTATTGAACTATTGAAGGTTCAAGAATGGTCCAATTTGACAAAAAATACGTCTACATGGCAGTGGAGAACATTTATTTTCAAAGGCAAGAAAGTCGAACTTTACATCCTATGCGCTATCGTGTAATGCTTGCAAAAAAGACCAAAATATTGGCTGCTTCCACGCTACATTATAAAGTACGGAAATGTAGTGTTTTTTTTTTGAGTTTCTTTTAAAAGAATTCTAAATCGTATAAAAAATTCGTCAACACCCGAATATAATTTTCTCAGCTGCCTTTTTTTTAAATGTAGAGGAAAGGCAGAAAAATTGAAATGAATTAACATAGAAATGAAATTTAAAAAATTTTTAAACATCCACAAAATAAAAACTCTCCTCTTTTGAGTCTTAAAGACCCGAAAGTTGTTTTCTAACGCAGAAGTTCTTTCTTAAGAGCATGTTTCTTAAAAGTTGATTTTGGAAATAATTAAAAGAAATTTTTGTATCTTTTTTTTGTTTAAGTAATTTAATGCAACTTTTAACACTGTATGTCATGAGATTACGCTTAATAGCTGTCGAAGACTTTTACATTCAGAATGAAAAATCTATTTTGTGGATAGGAAAAGAAATTTATGAAAAAAAAATTATTGAAAAGAAGAATGACAAAAAAAAAACATGAAAATAATAAAAATATTTAATGGAATTTGGTGAACCAAAAGAAACATGAAATAAATCGTAATGTAAATCCTCCATTGCATGTATAATGGAAAGTGCATTAAACTTGCTATGGAGCCAACAGTTCGCGATATAAAAACATGTTAATATAATACATTTAGTATGAAAACCTAAATGAGAAAAATATTACCAAAAAAATCCTTCGAAAATATACTAATAATAAAGTAAAACAACAATTACAAACTAGAAGTCTTTCATAGTTGCAGTTGTAGTTTTTATTATGTAGGTAGCGAAACGCCTAAGAATCTGTTTCCATTAAAAAAACAAAAAAATGAGAGAAAGACAGACCGGAATTGTACGATTTCTTAAGCAGAAGAAAAATTTTTCTCTTTTTTTACATAAAGTGCTTTTTGTTTTTTTTAAAAACTCTGCCATTATATTAAATATTTAAAGCTCTATAAAGTATGCAAGACTTGAGCAAATTCTTGTGTCAAGCACAAAGTATGCTGGTGTGTTAGTTTGCGGGTATGTGGCGTGGTTAGATACGTACATACAATTTGCAACTAAACAACTAGACTCTCTCCAAATACTACACATGTTGCTAGTGGTATATAATAACATCCAAAAGTATGTTGCAGTTCACTGAATAAATTTGCCGACTACATTGTTCTTGTTGTTTTCAATGCAAAAGTAAATGCCAGAATATGCTGCTTGCAAACGAAGTATAAATACCAGAAATTTTGTCTTTTTTTCTCCCCGACTTATCCTACTTTCTGCTTTTTATTTTTTCATTTCCTGGAAATACATTTAAGTCACATAGGGGCGGAAAAATTATGTTTTCCTTTATTTCTCTCTTTGTTTCCCCTTTTCTTTTGCCATACATATATTTGTATCTATATTTGTATTTACAAGTCATACTTGAGTTAAATTTCAAGTTACTTACGTTATAAGAAGTTGAAGGGAAAATCTATGTTTTACTGATTGACAATAATCGATAATCCCTAATCTTTAAGCTGATGCTTAGAGAAAACTGAAATGAGGGTGAAGTTTTGCAAGTGTGTAAAATCGGTTTAAATATAAGTTTAAATTAATCTGAAATGAAAAAAAACACTGATATCAATCAATGCTTGAGAGACGGTTGAGTCTTATTAGAATTAATTTTCATAATTTCTACCGTTTAACAAGAATATTTTGTAGATATTAATGTAGGAGGAGAATGTTATCTCAAACGTTGTACAATTTTCTTTATTTCCTCGAGTAAAAGAGAAGTGTTGTTCAGCAAAGGAATGATTTAATGCAATCAAAACCTCAAGTTAAAGTTTCTGCAACGATCTCTGAATATGTGGTAATCAAAATAATCAATATCTCCCGGTGCGCGTTTTTCTTCGTTAAGCAGACATCTTTTCTCAATTGTCATATAATTAACGAGTTCAAGTAAATTACAGTTGGCAATACGAACCTAAGGAGTGCAAACAACTTTATGTGTCCTAAGATTGTATGGAAGATCTAAACACTAGTGTAGCTATATGACGGCTTAGGTACTTTCTGTGGCTTAATGAGATAATGAAAAGATATTATCAGTATCAGCGCTAACAGAGAGCGGAGCTTGATGATTGTGTGTTGGCAGCTGTTGCTATCACCAAATTGTAACTCGTTAAATATTTAAGATCAGTCTTATCGAGAAGGGAAGCAACCTTGTCCCGTCGCTCTACGGCGGGCACTACTCCTCAAATGATTGTGATTATCCCATTTTCATAACGATGCCTACTTCATTAAATAGGTCCTCCTGTCATGTCGTATCGTGAAATGAAGTCCATTCATATGCTTCCATGTTTGACTCTAGAGACCTCTGCAATATGGTAAAATCATTCGTTTTTTTTTTTTTTTGAGTAGCTTTGTTTTTTGATTAGTTTGATTAGCTCCCAACACTGAGCATGTCATGTTCACACATCATTTCGTCTCGTTTTTTTTCAGATTGTGAAAGCTTTGTCTTCAACTAGCGGCAATACTAGATGTTTATATCTTTTAACTTCTTGCAGCCATATCCAGAAGTCTTCATACGCATCTAACACAGAGTGAAACATTAACAGCACAAATATCCAATTATGTAAAATTTTTTGCGCTTAAAGTTATCGTTGTGGATCCAAGTTGCGTTACGATTTGTAATACAAATCGAAAGCAAGTTGCAAGCTGCGTATTGCAAGTCGTATTACGGATCGTAAAGCCAGGTGCAATAGTTCACACGTCCTGTCTGTTCATATGACATTCAGTTTTGTTTCTTTAAAAATTTGACGACAGGTTAGCATTTAGGGACATTTTTTATGGATTTTCCCTCAACATATTCTTGCAATTTTTCTTTTTCAAAATGTTTTTGATTGCCCTAAGGTCTCTTTGCTGTAATTTTGATTATGTTGAAGCTCCTTTTGACTTGCATGAACGGTGTTCCTCATATCATCGCTTGATGATTTTCAAAGAAGAAGAATATTTGTGAAGGAATAAATGTGGAAATTTTTTTAATAATAACTTCTTTCGCACTTACTTCCTCATCATATAATTTTTATTATTATTTTTTTACAAATTGTCTGATTAACATTTTTATTTTTCTCATTTGGCTGTGTATAAGCTTTATATTTGTTACTTATTAAGCTGCCATAAGCTATGCTTTAATACTTTACTTTTGCAATTGAATTCAAATTGCTAGCATTTGATAGCCACATTCACTTAATTGAATTAAACAAAGAAGCTTTTAGGCAAAGGCAGACATAAACAGAGAGGAAAAGACGTTTGGTGGACACAAATATACACAATTCCCTTATTGCTAATTAATATTAAACATTGGAACAAATGCTAAATGCACATAAGCACCAGCTCGGAAATCTTCAAGGCTACTATAGCCAGTTGATTAGCATCAAAAAAGGAAAAAGAAAGCATATATATATATATACATATACTTACATACATGTACACATAATACATATATTTATAGATGGTAGGCATAAAAAGATGAAAAACGTAAACAACTATAACTGGTCAAGATTGAACGAAAAGATAAGTTACACAAAGAAATTAAAACAAAGAGTAAAATGTGTCAATTGCCTGACACTTGAAAGGCAATATATGGACTTAATGACGAGTAACTACACTCTATATGCACTTCACTTACCCGAGACAAGAGGATACTAGGGAATTATTGCTTGAACTCTTGCTGTGGGATGAACGTCCCAAACAGGAACCCATAATCACTTCTGATTCTATACAGTGCTAGCAAACTGATGTTATTTATGTATCTAAATCCATGTGCACATATATATATATATGTACACATATATTCGCCTGCACACTATATATACACTTTGTTATTATACTTTAACAAACATGTATAAATTGTAAGCTCTATTAGTTCGGCTGTGTGGTATATATTGTCTTACTTATGAGAGGATTTCTGTATGTACATATGGTTGTGTATATATATGATTGGGTGAACATATATCTGCGTATAAATGTATTGTGGAACATTTAAACAATGGCGTCTTTTGTAACGTGCGAACAAAAAGAATCCAAACAATCACTGTTTGATGGCATTTGTTAGAATAATTTATGTAATATTTTTTAGACATTTAACTAAACAATAAGGAACTGATACAATTTCCTTTCGTTATACGTGTTCATGTTCTGTTTCTGTATTATTTTTCTAACGATTTTTTGCCAAAAATCGGCCTTGTTGTATTAAACTTTAGCACAATAGAGTTAAAAAGGAAACACCAGCGCAGCATAACAATAGAGAGACAAGTTCACAGGTCAAGGATTCCTTGATTTTTTATTCAATTCTTTTTTTTCAAATAGGAAAGTTTTAATTTCAATTTTTCACAACAAGTTCATTTCTTTAAAAACTGTTTCAATCTAAGTTTCAAATTGTATCATGTTCGAGTAAATTTACAACATATTCTTTTAATGTAGTTTTATTTCAATTAACTTTATTTTATATTAATAAATATGATTTTATGTTATGTACATTGCTTTTTAAAATTTTTTCTCATGCCATGAAGAAGGCTTGTAGTCAAAGCAAGTTTTAATGACGTACTTATGTTTCATGAAGAAAAAGTATTGCTTTCTTTTTTTTATTATAATATGTTGTGATATTTTATGGCGGCCTTTGCTCTTATGAACTTTTACATACTCAATGACATATTCCATATTGTTTTTTCTTTCGAAGCTTTTTTTAACTTTTAAAGAAGTTTCGTGTTAACAGCTGACTGTCATTTTCTATGAATTTTCATTTCAGTTTCTCGCATTTACTTTATTCGCTTCGGCAAAAGCTTTTTGAAAACTTTTATTGATTAAGAATTATGAGAAATAAAATTTAAGCTTAAGTTATTAGAGCTTTTAAAACTTTAGTTAAGGCTTTTGACTCAGCTAAAGTGTTTATTTTCGAATTATACGCAACCATTTGGTTGCGTGTCGGTTTATTTTCAATTTATAAACACAACTCACGGGGAAATAGAGGAAGACAAGTTCGCAATAAGAAAGACAACGCTGTTTAGTCCTTCAGCAACTCTCGAAGAGAAAACCTGTAAACACCTAAAAAAAATGTGAAACATTATAAGTAAATGTTAAACGCGTGCAAAGAATTAACGTAGAAACGTTGAAGAACCCAATGCTTTGTCCTCGAGAAAAGGGATAACCGATCATTTCCGTATATGTTTGAAAAACTAACATAAAATGCTTCAAGAGTAACATTACTTAAATGCTATGTAGGGTTGATAAGTTAAATAAACTTAGTATTGAGTAGACAAGAAAATAATATCGGCATATTTTCTCTTTCTCCCTCTATCGTTTAGCTTATTTTTGTAGAGTGTGCTCTCATAATTAAACACAACAGATCAGAAAAAGGAGAGAGGGAGCAAAGTAAAAGGTTATCTATAACGTTGAACGGATATTGGAGAAAAACAATCTTTTAAAAATCTTAAAATAAATTTTTAGCAGCTGAGCTAATCAGAAACCTTAGCGATATGTAAAGGAATTGGTTTCTTTCTTGAATAAGTGCAGTTTGAAGATAGGTTCGTAAATATTAGAGTAGCTAAGTTGTTGGATTGACAAGAGGGAAAGATCTTTCTTGCAACCTTTATAGTATTGATTTGTGTCAATTTTAAGGCGAAAGAGAACGAGCGGAAGAGAAAAAGCACAGTATTTTCTCGTTCCCACTATATACAGTTGGCATAGCGTAGGACAGCAGGGCAGAATCATATTTACTGTTTGCCAAATAACTGTTCCTAAACTAAAAGTAAAATTTATTAATCTTTTGTAATAACTAGAACTGATCAAGCGTCCTCTTCGAAACATCTTCTATTAGATTTGTATTTGCATTAAAAATTGGTGAATTAAAATTTCTACTTGCAGATAATAGTTGCTATTATATATGTTGCATATCATGCGATACATATACATATATATTGCATATATTATGTATCATATATTAGCATATTATATACTGTAATCGATGTACGATCTATAATATTGGAAAAAAAGGTCAACTATGTTGTGGTTGTTTTCTCATTTTCTTTCGCGTTTACTTTATTGGATTAACTAGCCAAGATAGGACTTGTGTTCAGAAGATTATCGATAAATTAGCTCCGTAACTACTACGGTGACAATAACTTGTACTTAGAAATTTTTCAAACAAAATAACTTTTATGTTAAACACAATTTTTCTTGCTACTTCGTGTGCTATTTTAGAACACAATGTAATTACATTTTTCAAAATGTAAGTGTTTTAATATACAAAGTATAAAAAATCTGGGAAGAAAGGGTCCGCCCGTATAACTTCATGAAGATATAAATTGACATGTTCACCATTTATCCATTTATGCCTGTTTGCCTTTGCATACTTGAAAAACGTATTACTGTTTTCTTATTTTCAATAATGCCTTATTACATTCAATGGGATTTAAACTGAAAGACTAAACTATCATAATAAATCTTCCAACTCATTTTCCCTCTACTAACACGTTATCATTGTCAATTACTCCATTTGTTCCCTTGGCCAGCCCAACTCATTTAATGTTTGCTATAGTAGAAGGATGTATTAAAAAAATTGCCTGGGTGTTTACACAATACATGCATATAGGCAAGTAGCACTTAATTCAATCTTCTTCACATGCGCCTTCTTTTTTTTTTTGCAAAATAGTTAGACGCATAGTTGTAAAAGAACTCCAGCACTCGCCTGCCTAGTAAGTATATATATATATATATATATAAATAAAACAGAAAATTTGCTAAAGCTTTTTTTTTTGGTGGACACAAAGCCAAGCCCAACGTTGATTGGTTCAAAGATTTAAATTCATGCTGGAAAAATTGTTATGCATGTATTTCTATGGAAGAAGAAGAAAGCTGCAACGTTTGCCAATGTATGCGTGAAATGTAAAATTCATTAATTCACCGTTGTAACACAAATACAATAATAAAATATGTGCGACACTAAAAACAACAACAATTTTTTTTGAATTTTGTTGTAGCGATATAGCAGAGTGTTGTCAAAAAAAAAAAGAAAGAAAAACCCAAGAAAAACAAATTGTATAACAACTATATTTTTTTAACCCTTTTGTATGATTACAACATTTATTGAAGCACTTTTGTAATCCGTGAGCGAAAGTCTGCAATTCTACAAAATAGTATGGGTAAGAAGAACGTTTTCAGAAAACTTTAAAAAAAGAAATACGTAGCTATGCAGTCAGAGACAAAAGAGAGCGGAAGAATGGCGCTTAACGAGAGAATGAGAGTGAGAAAGAGAAGAGCGTTTGCGTTCGGAGCAATATAAATATGAAAGTTTTTCTCATTTATATTTTGCTTTTATAGCAAAGCTTTCGTTAAGTTGGGCTTTTAAATGAACTTTTAAAATTTATTTCAAAGTAAGACATTTTGTGTGTTAAACACCATTCCAAAAAAACAATGTAAATGACTATAATCAATATTAGCAATTTTAACGCAAATTGAAATTATAAACCATATTTTTTAATATTAAAAAGTTAAATGCAGTTTTTTCTTGTGTATGCATATAAACAAAGTAAGTATTAGGTTTCTTTTTCGTTCTTTAAATTGGATCTACTATCATAATATCATAATACACCTAGTGGAACTTATTAAAAAGTAAAAGTATATTAAGAAGATTAACGGGAAATTTTGCAAAGCTTGGTTTATAACGCGCCGTTCTCTATTGCTTGCAATTAGTATTGATTGAGCATCAAACTCTCAAGGATGCAGGCTTTGGAACATAGAAAATAAAGTTTTCTTTTGTCAGAAACATTTATTGATTTTATGTTAAAATTGTGGGAAAATTTCATAGGAGTATGTTATTTATATATATAAAAAAAACCATTTCGCAAACACGCGCAAAAACCCAAAACACAATATACAATAAAATATTTTTTTTTAAAGAAATGAAATTATATAGAAAAAAGTAAGAAAATTATATTCGACTTAAATCGAATCTTTTATCCCCATCATCACTCTCCAAGCTTTTTTCTTTGACCCTCGGACGGGATTTTGAGACAATATTAATCCACCGCGTAGTGAAGTCCGCAATATGTAATTTACAATTAACACCAATGTTCCTGACAAATTTGAAGCGGTTAGCTTCATTTTTGTGACCAAGGGAACGTACTGCAAATACATTATACCGAAATAAAATAATAAATACACACGTACACATACACGTACACCTACAAATGCATATGTTTACCTACACTGAAATTTTAGTTTCATATTAGATTATTTTGAAACAAAACAAAAACAAAACGATTGGCGACGGCCGATTTCTTTTCGATGAGTTAAATTTTCTCATATAATGACATTTCAAAATGAGGCCTTGTGCGGGTGCCAGTCAAAAAGGTGCTCGTGTTTGGGTCAATCACGTAGGTGTACTAAATTTCATCAAAATATCTCAAGAATTGCTACATTCCCTTCATACTTAGTATACCTTGTAGCAAAATTGGTGTAGAGTATACAAATATATTCGACATTCGTTATGGTTGCTCCGAACTAGCATTGCTCCTCGTTCTAGCATTTTTAAAATGTTGAGCTTAGTGCATGAGTGTTTTGGTTACATTTTTTTCATTAAGTAAAAAATAATGCTAATAATTAAGGTGTTCGCAATAACCGAATAATGGAAAAAAAAAACCCAACATGATGAGCGAGTTTGCACATAAGTAGGCATTTAAGAGACTTGGACGTCTTTCATTTGTTTACTAAGAATTTGTTCAAATACAAACAATAAAGTAGTCAAATATCAAAGTAGAATTGTGCAAAAAAATTAACATTTGTTCATTACAGGACTGCAATTGTTCTGGAATACAGTTAACAAATATGTGAAAGCGACATACCAATGGCATAACATATGTTAGTAGATTAACATTAACATAATTTCTCTTGATAGTTACGTTAACTTTATTTTCTCTTTTCGACGTCCTATCTCTCTTTTTTTTTAATGTCATTTTATTTATTTGCACGTGCAATTTTAGCGGCTTTGTTAGTAAATTGTTCATCATCGTCATCATTATCATCTTCTTATTCTTCTTCTTCTTTCACTACTTTTGCGTTCAACAACGCTCTTTCATGTTAACCATTTTTTCTCGGTCACATACGAGAATGAATAGAGAGGGAGAAAATGTGCATGATGTGTTTTGTAGTGATATGTGTTTGGGGGCAAATGTGATATTTGTTGTTTTGATTTTTGCCTTGTACTGTTATTTGTTTTGGTTTTGTTCATGTGTGTTTTACGTTGATGATGATGATTGGCACGAAGTAGGGCGGTTTTATGTCTGGTATAAGAAGTAGTAGTAACGTAACAGAAGTAGACAATTTCCTGTGCAACCTCAGTGCAAAAACGGCCGTTGAATTTGAATGTTGTGTGATACGGATAGAAGTTAATTCATACCATTCATTATAAGAGAGATCATATTAATTGTGATACATCTGAATGTATAAGAAAAAAATCATCAAAAACGCAAACACGTGTTGATTGTTGGAATTATTAAAAGGAAATTATTTCCAATTATATATTATTTGAAAGAAATGGTAGCCAAGAAATAAAAAATAATAATGAAAAATATTTCGTAACACTGTTTTGCACTTGTTTGCATACATTAGCTGCTCAGTGGCATATGATGTGAGTGTATATATTTAGCTACTATCGGATATACTTGCTATATTTAAAACTAATAGAATCGCGCGTTTTATTTTATCTATTTGAATGCTTATTTATTTATTTATTTTTAAAGCTGCAAGCACAGGCTTGCATATAGATACTTTTGCATAAATCTCTTGAGTTAATTGTATAACCATTCCGTAAGTGGTTAGCACACTCAAGTTTCGTTATACAAGTGCTTTGGGTATTGCCGGCGCGAGTGAATTTGATTTCTTTATCCGATTCTTTTCGACTTTGTTTGCGTTTAACGTCATATAAATTTTCTTTTTTCTCCTTCTTATTTATCTTTTATTATTTCAAAAATTTCATCAGTATGCGTATAGTTCTTGTTTAACCAATGTCTACATTGTGCCATGTGTTTTACTAATGTAAACTGAAAATAGAAACTAAAGCACAAAATTGAGTCTCTAGTGATGCGTACAAAGCAGTCATTTCTTTGTTGTTTGCGTATCCCCTCACTTTTTTTTTATTTTGCCGGGCTCCTCTTTGCTTGGCTTTGCTCAATTGGAATTTTTAGCAGTGATTGCTTTGTTTCATTGTGTATTTGCAAAAGTAAGTATTCTGCTGTTTTTGTAAGTAAGTGTGCGTAAATGTTTTCTTTGATTTTACTTCACTTTCATTCCTTCCCTTACATTTATTGATGTACCAGTTCTAAGGGTACCTAATAAGTATTGTTACGAATCTATGACCAGAAGAAAGGGGAAGAGAACGGGCAGAGTGGGAAAAGGAGAAAGGAATTAGTGGTGGGCGGGTAAAGGCTGGAAAGAGGTAAGCGGCAATTATTCTCCGATTGATTGATTGATTAGCTAGAGTAGTTTGACTGGGAAATAGTTAATTACGTTGTTTGCTCTATCGCATAAAAAGCGAAAGAAAATAAAAAGCAAAAAAAAGGTTTACTCTTCATTAAAATCTTCGTCAGGAAATTGAACGATAATATTTACTTTGAGAAAAACTTTGGGAAAGTCTTCCGGTTTGTAATTAAGTAAACAAGAAAAATTAAGAAGAGAGGAGTAAAAGTTTACCGATTCATTGAAACGCTGTTGCGTAGCTTATTGGAATTTCGAATTAATTAAATTTCCTGAAAAGCAGCGGAGAGATAAGTAAGCTTGTTACCTCATACAAGTATACTAACAACAATAAAAAATGCTCAAAGCCGAATAGCAGTTAAGTGGAGTTTACTTAGTTTATTTAAATACAATATTACTACACGTAGCGATTATCGCAGGAAAGTAAACGTCTTTACGACAGGAAATTGCTTTCGGAAAGATATTGCCATAGAAATCTATCGATAAAATTGGTAATTTAATCTGCGTATACTTTGTAATCAAAGTCTAGTTTGCAGCTGTTGAGAGAGACTATGTTTCTATACTGATCTTTCGATACGAAACGGAATTTGGTATGCAGAACGTTCTTGTTTTTAGAAATCACTTTTAAAACTAGTTAATGTAAATTTTTTCGCTACCAATTTAAAGTTACCAAAAGTTTGCTTTCTTTCTAGAAACCAAGTTGTACTCTAAAAAAAAGTAGTGTTTTTTTCATAGTTTCGCGTTTGCGGTGCTTTGTTTGAAAATTTTCAATCACCCTTTATACTTTTTTATTTGTAGTAATGAAATAGCAGTGAAGATGAGAAAAAGATATTAGAGAGCGTAAGCGTATTGCTCGGACAAACACTTTTTAAAACAGTTAGACTGACCAGTTTGTTTAAATTAGAACTTTCAAATGAAAAAATAATTCGTATCCCACATTGTTATTACACTTAGATACTATGCTTAAACAGTCATTGAGAAACTCATAAAGTTATAGGTTAGTTGTCGTCAATATTACATTCCAAGTTAAGTAAACTATGCTTTCCTTCGGAGCTCCAGTTGCTCGTCGACTCACACATGGTTATTTACATAATAAAATTTCTAATGTAAAGTTAAGATAATATATTCAAATACAGGTGGAAAGTTGAAACGACGTAAGGCGGATTCTTAAGAGCCCTACACTATTTTTATTGTCTTAAAACACCAAAAATTTGTTATCACGTAAAAGTTCACTTTTCTATAATATTCTTATTCGAGAAGATGTCAGAAATATGGAACAACATGGTTCATACCCAATACAAGAAATTTATTCTCCATGTCACTATTTAGAACCATGAACATTTTTATTGAAGGAGATACAAAAAATAATCAAATTTTGCCCATTTATTTTGATAGATATTAAAAGTGGAAAATTCTTTTAATATAATAAATCTCCTAAAAGAGAACGCGCTTTATTTCAGCGCAATACCTAAAAAACCATGATTTGTGGGTTGAATGTAATAATAAATTCGGAAATAATTTACTGCAATTGATATGCAAAAATTTTTCAAATGTACCGTAATAACGAAGTTAAATTTAGCTGTCAACTTACATCGTCGATAATTTCTGTCTTTTGATTCACAACAATTTTATCTATAACGCAATCAGTTACATTTGGCAGGCATTAGGTGACATAAAATTGCAACTTGTTTTTATTTTATTCAGATACAAGGCAAAAAAAAAAAAAAATGAGTAAAAAAATTAAATTCGGGCGGGACCGAACTTTTTACAACCATTACCATTACCGTTGTCCTAAAAAAGACAAAAGAAGTAGAAGAACAAAATTTTCATTGCCTTATAATATGGAATGGGCGCAATTGATTTAATCTATTTTCAAAACAAAAGTTTTTGTTGTATAGGCATTTGGGCCCTATAGGCGTGTGCTTTGCAAAGTTTAGGTCAATTCCAAATTCTATTGCAAATTTGTAGGCGATATCTTCATTTTCATTTATGTTTACCACAAACACTACAAAGTTGCGCAAACAGACAGATGGACAGACGAATAGGCGGACATGTTTTGGTGCATTTCAAATTTGAAACTGGTCGGGAATTTGCATACTTTTTGGGGTTTTTAAAGCTTGCTTCTACGCGTTATAAAAAAACAATTCAATTTTGTTACACAGCTCAATTTTGTGCGCAGCTGCTACAGCGTCCCCCATAGAAAATGCGATCAAATTTTTGTACATTTATGTGCTATAATTTATGAGTAAGCAACAAAAATCGAACCTTTTATTCCATTTGAAAAACGGAGATGTTCTTAGTTTACGTGGTGCTGCGGGCGTGTCCTCTGAGCGATTTGGCCAATTTTCAATACCATCCCTTGTGCCAGAATTTCGAATGTTTCTGCTAAGTTTGAAGTCGATAACTTCATTTTCTCGGCCAAGAAATTGTTTACAAAAAACATTACACACGCAGACAGATGGACAGACGGTCATGCCTAAAACAATTTAGAATTTGATGCTGATCAAGAATATAAACATTTTTTGGGGTCTCCGATGCTTCCTTCTGGGCGTTGCAAACTTTTTCACGTTTTATACCCGTTTATACAACAAACAGGTCAAAAACAGGTTTTGCGCCGAAAAAAGAACATACAATATCGGTACTTTGATTAATCCTTTTTTTTTTGTAGAATGTTACCCAGCAAAAAAAAAATGTGGAGAACAAGTTTGTCCTCAAAAAAATTCTTAATACAAAATTTTTTTTATATATATTTACTTTTGTTATGTTAAATATTTTAGAAGCAAAGAATTTCTGAATATACGGCGTGACTGCACGCAACATTCATCACACATCCACGAGAGTATGACTGGAAGTTCTTGTGCTGGAAAGTCAATCTGTAATGTTTTTTATGACTGGGTTTTCTTTTGTGCTGGGTTTAATTACGATAGCAAAATTTCTCAGCGACAGTTTCGTTCTGTATAACCCAATAAGCTGTAACACACTGACTTTCCGCATGCGATACTGTGCATATTTGACTTTAAGGTGAATGTTAATAGCCCGTGTTTTCTGTATATTCCACACTTGCGCGTACGATTTCTTAATGCATCCACTGTTCATTACTTGTCACGATATTGCAACATTATCCTTTGAAATGAGATCTCACAGTCCGATGCAGATTAATATTAACAAAGACCATTATTGTAAACCTTGTAAAGTTTATCTTCATCCACTTCAGTTCACGTTACGAAATTGGTACAGGTTATTCCACATAAAGTGTGTTTCATTGTGGTGAAATTTTTTAAAATTGTGTGGAAAACAACAAACCGTATCAAAGTAAACCGTGCTTAGGGGCTGAAGGTATGTCCAGAACAAAATAACGTTCACATGTCCACCACTACTTTGAAGACACTGGCGCGTTCAATTACTCAAGCTACACCCATCAACGTTTCGAATATTTCTTTACAAATTACGATAGAGGCGATTTTTATTATTTTTAACACAACGAAGAAGTCTGAATTAACTTAAACATTGCCTTTTTGATAATCAGTCATTTTTGGGACATTACCTATGCGCTTTTAACAGGCGGGAAGAAGTAGGGAACGAGGGATAAAGCATAGTCCAGGCCTAAAAGGTATATGCCCTTTTCTGATCTGGCAGGTTGCTTGAAAAGCACGATGGCAACTGCTCAGCAACGAAAACAACTTTTGTTGGTAATTTGTTGTTTTTCTAAGAGGGCGTTGGCATGTGTCCACATCAGAAAACATACAAAGAAAATGCAAAAAATCATTCTCGACAACCGAAGAATGAGTTTGCAAAAGATAGTTGACATCCTTAAAGTCTCTCAAAGGCAGCATATTTCATCATTTTGCACTAATATTTAGACATGAGAAAGTTGTGTCCCGAGCAGGTAAAGCGTTTAGTCATAGTCAGAAGAAACCCTATGCCACAAGTCGACGGTTGTCATAACAAAATTGCATTATTTGAAGTTTTTTTTGCTACCCCGCCCACCGTATTCTCCAATCTTCTGCGACTACCGCCTGGTTTAGAATGAGGACATTGCGAAAGATGAAATATAATGTATTTTAAGAGTTTTGACAAATCTTTCTAAAGAAAAAGCATCCAAAAGTTTTGGAGAGAGAGCACAGTATTAAACATACATACATTGAGGACATGCATATAGTCGAATTACTGGAAAAACATTGTTTTTCTCTTACTTAGCTTCGAAAATTATTGACCGATTGGTTATACACTTGTAACTTATAGCAACCTGAAGAACAAAATTTAGAAATAGCTTATGCAACATTCCAAATATATATGCAAAGAATGCGTGCATTGCCTTCTCAGAATTAACGGTCTACAGTCATAGTCAATGACAGGCATTTTGCTTCTTGGCTTAAATTTTCGATAATTTTAATGGGCCAAAGCAATGGCCGTCCAACCAGTTTTTTCAGATAAGCATTTGTACGATGATGCATTTGAAGTGGCATCCCTACTTTCGTAGTGAATTAATCCTAATATACGCTGGTGTATTGTGCACTTCCGTCCACTGGACTTCATTAATCTTAAATGGATAATATTTTGACTTTACTATTAATTTTAATCTTTTTACTTTTAGCAACACTGAGCCCTTAAAATGCCCATAATTTATAAAGAAGTTAACTAGTTTAATGAACGCTTTCCAATTTTTTTTAAGCTTAAGATTTGTTCGGACACCATGCTTTGTTTGCTTTAACTTTCATTTATTCTGTTATGACTTTTTACATACAT